AAGAGATTTAAAACTCATTTCATATCATAAGTATATTTTATAGTTGATAAAGCAGTTTGAAGATATCCAATTTGATCATTTACCTTGAGAGAAGAATTTGATTGTTGATACCTTGGTTATTTTGGCTGCAATGATCTAAATTAGTGATAATACTGATATTCAGCTTATTAGGTTAGATATCAAAGATATGCCAACTCATTGCTCTAATGTAAAAAAAGAAGAAGATGGGAAGCTCTAGTTTTATGATATATTATAGTACATTAAGAACTAGCAATACCCAGTTCAAGCAACAGAAAATGATAAAAGGATCATCCGAAGATTAGCTATGAGTTCTTTCTTGGATGAAGATATTCTGTACAAAAAAAATCATAATCAAGTATTGTTGAAATGTGTAAATAAGGTTGAAGCAAAAAAATCATTAAAAAGGTACATGATGAAATATGTAAAGTACATACTAATGAACATATGATGGCAAGACAGATCATGAAAGTAAGGTACTACTGGTTGTCAATGAAAAATGATTGCATTGATTACACTCAAAAATGTCACAAATGTCAGATATATACTGACAAGATTCATGTTTCACCATTTACTTTACATGTTTTAGCACCACCTAACCATTTTCTATGTGAGGCATGGATGTCATTGGTCCTATTACCCTAAAGGCTTCTAATGGGCATAGGTTTATTTTTGTGATGATAAATTACTTCATAAAATGGGCGGAGGTAGCATCATATGCAAATGTAATACGATCTATGGTTTGTAAATTCATAAAAAGAGATATCATTTACAGATATGAACTTTCAGAGATAATCATTTCGGATAATACCAAGAATCTGAATAGCAGGATGATGCAAGAAATATATGCCTAATACAAGATCAAGCATCATAACTCGACGCCATACTATCCAAAAATGAATAGGACAATTAAGGCAGCTAACAAAAATATAAAAAAATTTTTGAAAAGATGATCGAAACCTATAAAGATTGACATGAAAAGTTATCATTTGCACTGCATACATATCAAACGTTAGTGCGCACCTCTACTAAGGTAACTTCATTTTTTTTTTGTTTATGGGATGGAAGCTGTATTGCCCATAGAAGTAGAGATCCCATCTTTGAGGGTTCTGAAGAAAGTTGAACTAAAAGAGGCTGAATGGGTTCGAGAGCGTTATGAACAATTGAATTTCATTGAGAAAAAGAGGTTGACTGCATTGTATCATGGTCAGCTATATTAAAAAAAATTATAAAGGCTCATGACAAAAAGTTTAACCCGGTTGCTTTCGAGAAAGAGAGTTGATCTTGAAAAAAATTTTTCCAAATCAGCACAATAATAGAAGAAAATGAACTCCAAATTAGGAAGGGCCATATTTGGTAAAACGGGCTTTCTCAGGTGGAACGTTGATATTGGTTGAGATGGATGAATATGATTTGTCCCATCTTATAAATTTTGATGTTGTAAAAAATACTATGTTTAAAAAAATAAAAAATAAAAAAGAGGACAAGATTCAAGGTAAAAATCTCAAGAGGGCAGTTTGAGTCATAAGGGATTTATCTAAGTAAAAACTTAAAAATGTAGCTTAGATAAGGAAAACATAGCATCAAATCTAAAATTCATTGGTATGAAGGCTAACATGTTCTGAGGAGCTCTAAGTTGTTAAGTGAATTGGGTGGTTGAGTTTTTCGAAAAAGACATCGAGATGTGTTATCATGATTATCCGATTGTTCATTTTTAGGCATTGTTTCCCCATACCTATCTTTGTAATTCATGGCCAAAATTTATCAGCATTTTTGCTAATAAAAGGCATTTTACTTTATTCTTTGTGTGTTTTTTCTGTTGACTATTTCCTAATCATTCTTATTCTTTTCTCCTCCATATCTTGCAATGAAAGAAATGTGTGAATACATTCTTACTTTTTGAGATTGAAATAATGATTGATAAATGAATAATAGCATTAAAGATTTCTACATTACATTAGAAAGGTCGAGAGTGATAAGGGCAAATTTGAGATGTTCAGTTCCTGATAAAGACATTGAATTTGGAAAGGGATTTCTAGTAGAAAGAATATGAAAATTAAATGAAAGAAATTGTTGAGAGCTATGCTGATTTGATCTTCGAAGAATAAAGGCTTCGAGGCCCAATAAGAGAGCTTGAAAAATTTGAGTACCACAACTGAATGGGAATTAATTAGCCAGTATTTGCATAGCATGCATTGCATTTCGCATAGCATATATTACCTTTAGGAAAGCATAGTGCATAAATTCAAAAAGTAAGGGTATTCTAAGATCCTACGTGGAGAAGACAGATGTGAAGACTTTATGATGTAAAAGTTTCAAATTCGAGAAATAGTTTGTGAGGTAAGATTCTAATTCTTGAAAAAAAATATCTCTCGGTATCAAGATCGATTTGTAAAACCCTTGGGTATAATCTCTTGAAATTCTTCGAACATGATCTTTGACTCCTCTAGACATGATTGTCAATGAGCATTTATTTTTTCAAAAGTTATGGTTGTCTCTATTTAGAGAAACAATTTATTTTTTTCAAAGTTGTGGTGCTTCTATTTAGATGAGCAATTTATTTTTTCAAAAGTCGGGGTTGCCTCTGTTTAGATGAACAATTTATTTTTTTCAAAATTGCAATGCCATTGTTTAAAGGAGCAATTTATTTCTTTAAAAGTTGTTAAACCTCTGATTAGAGGAGCTTTGTTTATTTTTTTTTCTCAAAGTTGTTGAGCCTCTGTTTAGAGAAGCTTTGTTTATTTTTCAAAGTCGTTGAACCTCTGCTTAAAGGAGCCTTATTTATTTGTCCAAAGTCGTTGAGCCTCTGGTTAGATGAGTTTTGTTTATCTTTCCAAAGTCATTGAGCCTCTGCTTAAAGGAGCCTTGTTTATTTTTTTTAAAGTCATTGAGCCTCTGATTAGAGGAGCTTTGATTAAGAAAAAATAAAAATATAAAAAAAGGGATCGAGTTGAGTCTTGAATGTGTGTCTACGTCTTTGTACAATTTCTGTTTCACAAAAAATATGAAAAGAAGGGCAGCTATAGATATTCAATTTGGTCTAGGCCCGAATCAATTGGGCCTGGTCCAAATGGGCAAAATAGGCTCACATTTTTTTAATTTATTTATTTTATGTATTTATTTTTATTATTAGTATTATTTTTTTTGTTTATTATTATTTTTTAGATTTTTATCTTTTTTTTCTTGATTAATTAAGAGATAATGATTAGACTAATTAAAAATAATCAAAAAAATAATGGAGATCGATTTGACCGTGAATTTGGGGCTGGTAGAGTTGGAATATGATTTAAAGATTAAATCTCAATCTCAGATGAAATTGTGAATTGATCAGAAACTCTTCTGATCAATCCCTATAAATAGATGTTGGAACACAAAGTTGAAGACACACAGAAAGAAAGAAAAAAGAAAAACAAAAGCAAAAAAATATTGTTTAGCAATTTTAGGAATTTTAGATTTTTTTTTTGAATTTTTGGCTTTATTTTCTAGAAATTTTTTGAAATTTTCAGAATCCGGTGAATTTTTTGACAAAAATTTAAGTTTTTTCGGTGACCGTCCGGCATGAAAACCTAATTTTCGATGATATACCCAAAAATCGATGACTTTCCCAGCGATATTCAACCAGAAATGACGATCAAAAATCATCTAGAGAGAGAAAAAGAAGAGAAAAAAATAGAGAGAGTGTGGGGGGAGAAACATTTTTCCTTTTATACGCAAGTTAAACGACGTCGTTTTGCGTCAAAGCTTAAACAGAATATGTGCATTTTGTCAAGATCTGACCCGACCCGAGCGTTAGCCCATTTTTGACCTGCGTCTAACCCAAGTGCCAGCCGAGTCGAGCCGCGCACTCCTGAGCCGCGTTTTCGAGTCGTTTTTCTTCCTGGAGTCGAGCCGATTTCAGCCGCTGAACTAAGTCGCCTTAAGGTTATTTATTTATTTATTTATTATTATTATTATTTCTAAATTAGAATTATTTGGTATTCCTTAATTTTTTTTATTTTTTTAATGATTTTCCTAAAATAAAATTTTCAAAAAAAATATTTTTGAGAAAAAGTTGAAAGTATCAATTTTCTTTAAAAATAAAGTTTCTAAAATAAAAATTTTCAAAAACATTTTGGGGAGAAAGTTGAAAGTATTAATTTTCTTAAAAATAAAAAGTTTAAAAATAATATTTTTAGGAAAAAATTGAAAGTATCAATTTTTCTTAAAAATAAAATGTTTAAAATAAAAATTTTCAATTACTTTTAGGAAAAGTTTAGTATAAATTTTACTTGTACAAAAGTAATAAGTTTTTTTTAATGAAAAGAAAAATATTTATATCAAAAGGTGAATCATTATTTTTATTTTATTTTATTTTTTTATATTTTTTTGTTAAATAATCCGACGATTGAGTCTCTGCAAGTGAAACAGTAATTTTCTTGTATACTCTTGAAGTGAGAAAATATTTTTAATTTTTTGTCAAAAGTATTGGAGTCAATTAAAAATAATTTTCAATAATTAATTACTTGGTAAAATTTTTAAGGCTTAATGGATAACACGGAATCAAGCTAGTATCATCTTTCGATAGACGTTGTAAGGGTACTATAACTTTTCTCACTCGTAACCGAACTCCTGAACCTTGTTCTGATTAATAGATCGAACTTATTTTTTTAGAGACCTTTAAGCTTAAGTGTTCCTTGATTGATGGTAATTCTTTAAGTTAATATCTAGCAATAAGTATAAAGATTTAGACGTTACGAGAATATTTATTCAAAAAGTTTTACATGCAAAAAACCAAGAGGAAGGAAAGAAATTCTCAGCCAAACCCACTGCAACTCGTCTCCAAATCTGGTAGGGTATGGAGTAGATCACAAGACATTAGCAACTTTTAGTTGGTCCACATTCATCTGCTTGACTGTAGCTGACGTTATTCTTTGAAGCTGCATTTCCCTATAAATTCACGTTCTTTATCGGCGTTGCAGAATCTCACACTTTCCCAACCCCATTTCTGAAGAAGATGAAGAAGAAGAAGAAGAAGAGCGTTGGACTTTGCCCATCCATTCCAACTCCCTCTTCTTCTTTCTCCTTATTATATAAAGGATTCTTCTTGCAAACTTTGATGGCCCAACCTACAGTTGTTGCTGTTATTAGTGTTTTTATTCTGTCACATTCGTTCATATCAGGTACTCACGGGAGACTTTGAATGATCGATGTTTAATCAGTTCTCGTGTTAATTATCAGGATTTGGTTTCAAGTTTGGTTTTTTTTAATTGATTTTCGTTACATTGTAAACAGGAGTGCAAGCAACAACCTTTACCATAGTAAACAAATGCGATTATGTGGTATGGCCTGGAATTCTCTCAAACGCAGGTGTTCCAACACTTTCCACAACGGGCTTTACTCTCCAAAGTGGTGAAACCAAAACAATTACCCCACCGACATCATGGGGTGGTCGCTTTTGGGGTAGAACCCATTGCTCCCAAGATTCTACCGGAAAATTTTCATGTCTGACGGGTGATTGTGGCTCCGGGAAGCTAGAATGTTCAGGAAATGGCGCTTCCCCACCTGCCACTTTGGCTGAATTTACTTTGGATGGTGCTGGTGGTTTTGATTTTTATGATGTGAGTTTGGTGGACGGTTACAACATCCCTATGTTAGTAGTTCCTCAGGGTGGGACAGGGCAAAATTGTACCTACACTGGCTGCGTAGCTGATCTCAATGACTCGTGTCCTTCAGAGCTCAAGGTGATGAGCACAGACAGCGGCGACGGCGTCGCTTGCAAGAGTGCTTGCGAGGCCTTCCGCCAGCCACAGTACTGTTGCACAGGCCAGTATGGCACACCCGATACTTGCAAGCCTTCCTCATACTCGGAGATCTTCAAGACAGCGTGCCCACAGGCCTACAGCTATGCCTATGATGATCTGACCAGCACCTGCACATGTGCGAATGCTGATTATATCATTACTTTCTGCCCTTCCCCTAACACTAGGTAATCTACTTTACAAGCCCTTTTCAACTTTTGTTTTCACACTTTTAACGTTAAAGAGCAATTTTGTCATGAAAAGAACGTTCTGTCGACAAAGGCAGTAAATATAAACGTTCGCGTGAAGGGTTTGTCAGTTATGGCGCAACTTTTCACATTGCTCTGAGAAAACAAATAATTTGCCATCTTATTATGTCGACTGTGGCACATGTTGACGTTTACGTGCTGATGCCGCTAACCGTTGAGTTACAGTCAAAGCACTGGGGTGCTAGCTGAGCCAATTAATTCTGAAGATTTGGTGTATAGTTACATCTCCAATAAAGAAAATCATAATTACAAATCTAGTTAACAGTCGTGCCTCCTTGGAATGTCAGGTAGGGTGGGGTGTAGAACGGCCTTTGTGGGCGTTCTGGCTGAAAATGATTAGCTGTCTAATTAATGCATGTCCATGAACATGCATCAATCCACTGGGATAGGCATCGCGTTTTGATACCAAACCCGCAAATTGAGACCAAGGCTCTGCCAGACTGAATACTTGCACGCCAATGAAAGTTCTATTATTGTAGTTTTAGTTAACGGGCAGTTCACGGAAATAGGAAGTAATATAAATAAACACGTTGGCATTTTTGTCAACATATTTGCTTTTTCTGAGTTTTTAACTGTTAATTTTGGTGCGTAAATTGCAGCCAGAAATCATCGCGAGGGCAGAACACAACAACGACGACAACGTCATCTCTAACCAACAGCACAATGGTGTACCAAGGTGCCTCGGACGACAGCGCGGCATCATCGGCCACGTGCACCCACGTGTTCGGATCACATGCGATTGCGGGAATCGTTGGCATCACATTGGCGATTTGGTGGTCGTGACAACCCTTCTCCCTTGTTGCCTAACCTTATCTGTAGGGCTAGGGGCCATGGGCCGTAAACTTAGAAATATTACATTAGCAAAAACAGGCAGAATATAGCTAAGCCCCATTGAAACTTTGGTCCATTGGGGTGGTTGGGGATGTCCGTATCATTAATGGGTGGGCTTGACATGATGACGTGGGATCTAGTCATGACAGAAAAAACTCACCCGTCAATTAAATCGAAGCCCCCTAGCCGTTTGCTCTATCTATAACAATCCAATTGACAATATGCAGAGAGTGGTGGGTTTTTTTTTTTTTTTTTTTGGGGGGGGGGGGGGGAGGGGTGTTTAAGGGCCAAATGCACGAAATCGGAGGCTGTTAGAGTTGAGAAACATTTTTCTATTTTTATTTTAGGTTCCATTTTTATATTATAGAAAGGGATGGGATTCATTTGATTGCTGGTTTTTACGAATCTATCAATTAGATTGTGTAAAATACTATCACATTTGCTTCCAAATAAAATGAATTATTTTTATTACCAATTTTTCTCTCCATATTTTGTTTTTGTTGGATTTCCTTGTCATTTTGCATAACATATTCCAACGACAATATCTTTCAATTTCTATTATTAGTAAACCTTTTATCAACAGTGTGCTGCATGCAACTTTTTTGATAGCAATAGATGTGGAGGATAAGATTATCTTTTTACCTAATTTGGTGACTTGTGTAAAATGTGATGTTAAGAGACCATGAGCTAAAGCATTTAAATTTGCAATCAACATTATTGGATTAATTTTCAAAAAGAAAAAAAATGGCAGTGGTGTAGGAAAGGGGAGTGGGGCCTTGGGGTGGCGGGTATATGTTCAAAAAAAGAGTCGATAATTCACCTAAAAAAAACAAAAAGAAAGGGAAATATTTAAAAGTATATATATATATATATATATATAGTTTGAATAATGAATATAAGCATACTAGTTTGGTCCACATTTCACAAATTGTGATGTTTAAGTTTTTCGTCAGTTTGAAAGTTCAACAATACTAAAAAAATTGGTTAAACCATTATGGAGGTTACCATTAATTCTGTGCATGATAGCTGGCAGCCAGGCACATTTTAGTTGAATGGATAACTGATAATGGCCCATATTGTCGGTGGCAATGTGTAAATAAACAGAAAACAAACCATAAGATTTAGTCCAACCTCCTAAATTACATGAATAAACAACGAGTTATTTGAGAAAATATGATTGTAATTAAGGGTGAAATCGAGTCGAATCGATACAGTAAAAAATTCGAGTTTGAGCTCTGCTCGAACTCGATTGAGTTTTATTTTTTTAATCCGAATTCAATTCGTGATCGAAATTGAGTTACTCAAATTCGCTCAATTAAGTTCGATTAATATGTTAAAATAAATTCGATTTTTATATTCGATAAGAGTTCGATTATTTGTACTTGAACTCGAATTCGAAATATTTTATTAATTAAAATAATAATAAAAATTTAAATATAAAAATTTGATTAAGCTCGCGAGCTACTCGAATCGGGTATAAAAATATTCAAACTCGACTCGATCGATAAGTCGAACTATTCGAGTTCAAGCTCGATTCGATAATAATCGAACCGAATTTAAGTTTCATTCGAATCAAATTCAAATAACTTATTAGTACTAATATATTATTTATACCTTTAATTACAATTGAGGCAACTTTCTTCTACGCATTTTATCTTCTAGTACTGCCCTTGGCCTCCATAGATTTATTAATAGTTCATTCGAGTTTAATATAATAATTCTCTCAAAATCACAAAAGCAACAATAATGCATTTGTGAAACCTTATTCATACATATTTACAAGTAATCCTGTTTTAATTAGGCCAGAATATAATATTATTATTTGGGCAAATAATTTTTGCTAATTTAGATGCTCTAATTGGCTGCAACATGCATGTTAACATCAATTAGTCACAGCCGCAGTGATTTGATCCACCACAGTCGCACATGGGTGCTTTCGTCATGCGCATGGACGTATGCTAATGCTTATCCATTCAAGGGCAGCGGAAATTAGAATGCTCGACAGTTGCGTGATTAACCTTTGCCCGGACAACAATGTGTACATTAAAGAGATAGATGAAACGTTTTAAGCTCTGGATGGTGAGATTGATTATAGAGAGATTAAAAATAATCATTACAATTATAATTAAAAAATTATTATAATTATGATTAAAAAAAATTTTAATAAAAAATTTACATTAAATAAATTTTGTTAAAGTTAATATCTAGATTCTATTTAAAATACGATGAATTCAATCGTATTATATTAAAAATACGATAAAATCCAAATAGGGCGTTAGTCTCTGCCGCTAAGCTGGTGACGCTATGGCCCCATTTTGCTAATAGCCCACGCTCAAAACTGTTATGGCTGAGAAGACCGGGAATCTCCATTAATTAATGGAGGATCAGGTCGTTCTCATTAGCTAGCGTTGGTAAAATCTCACGAGACAAAACAAAAGTTCACGGCCGCCAAGCCATTCCAAGGAGCAAAGGGGGTAGTCAACCGAATATGGATGATTTGTTGGTTTCATCAGTCGAATTCCAGGGGGTCAATAAGCTCAAATCCAGCAGTTTTTGGAGCACGCAGGCTGCAATTTATAGTTTTTATCACTATTAATCTTGAGTGTGATTCGGACTCTGTATTGTTATGTGCATGTTTGAAACAGACAAAAATGCATGTGGTTAGATGTCTGCTTTTTTTATATTTTACCTGCCTAATTGTATAACCTGTTGAATATGCCAAAATTGAGCTGATCCCCTCTTTTAGGTAAAATATAAGTCCAGGTTCTGAAGAAAAAGACATTTTATGTTTTGTTGCATTGAACCTTTGATTGTTGGGTCTTTGTTAAGAATTTTGTTTGTCAAAGTTGATGATCCCGGCTAAAGGTTTGGTGGTGAGGCGAGTCTCGTCATGATCAGACGTCAGAGAACATGTTGGTAGTCCAAGGGAAGCATATGCTTTGCTTGAAGAAGAGAAAACAATACGCTATTTGTTCATTTGTCTTGTCAAACTCAAGATTCTTATGTGTACTAATGGGTAAGGTTGCTTTAGAATAATAATACTACTGCTTCTTATAATCCTTGTTTACTATTAAACTTTGAAAATTAAAAGCTTCGCCATTTTTGACTAAGCAAGGCAGCTATTTTATTTGAGAAAGCTGATTAGAGATGATGGCTTAAATAACCAACTAGTACACCTTGAGAAAGCTGATTATTTAAGGACGCGCAAAATAAATGATTGTACACCTTGATACTTCATATACTTGTTTATTGTCGCTTTGCGTTTATGAGTTCATCAGTCACTACGGTCTTCAGATACTGGACCATATGATTTTAGGCCTCAATTCAATGGGCCTAAACAATTGATGACTGATTGGGTTAGAGTTTGACGAAACTTGGTAGAAATCTCCTGGCCTTTGTGCAATTGCACCAAGCCCAGTATAAGTTGTAAGAATCCTACCAAAGATTAATCATTTCATTGCGGACTGCAAGGCAATTTAGGTTAGGGTCTCTTTTCTAGTAAAAAAAATAAAAGGGCAGACTTCTTTTTGACTATTCTAGAAGATAAATTGGGGGGCGATGGTAAAAGCAAAATCTGAGACAATCTCCCTCTTTCCAACCTTTCTACTCTTTTTGCTTTTCTTGTCATATTTGCATCCACGTCGTCTTGCTGACCCTTTTGACATCTTTTCCACATCTCTTAAACCAAACTCGTGCGTGCATTACCTAAAGAAAAAGCTTTATTAAACTTAAAGACTCTGAGGCTAAAACTGTTTAGGTCCCATGAATCTATGATATTTCTAAATGTATCAATTTAGATGATGCATATTGTGGGAATCCCTTGATGATTTGTGTTTCTTGTTTCCCGCCCTATAGAACATGACATATCATCAACATGGCGGCGTGCCCCGTTAAACCTAATCTATTATTTCTTGTGCGAACCAAGGTATTTTAGCGAGGATTTATCAAGGATTTGATACGATTGATGTTGACTCTCCTAACAGAACATACGGAGTCGAGAAAAAAAGGGGAAAAAGCAAAACTCTCGCTGCTTTTAGAGGGCCTTCAAAATCAAATTTAGGCTTCTGTCGGTATGACGCAAATCTTTACAAAAGAAATAGAAAGGTGAGACTGAGAGGAAAAAGGAAGTGATGGGAAAAAATTATATGACTAGCAATTATCCAAACGTGTACTTTACACGATGGATACCATGTCAAAGGACACTCTCAGATGTTGAAACCTGAAAGAACTCTGTTGCTATGATAGTTGAGAGTTATACCTGACTGCAGATGCAAAGCTAATTAAGTAAATTAATTTTTTCCACTGCATTCAACATGCCACGCTACTTTTATGCTGTCATGGGACGATCTGCTTAAATTTATGATAAGTACTATAGGAGATGATCACATAAAGTTGATGTGATTTTTATGTCCTTGGAAGTTAAGGACACTTATCAGTATGGCGTTGGATTAAAGTAAACGGCGTCAAGCTCTTTGTCACCAATGCTGGGATTCTTTCTTTTCTGTATGGATAAGTTTGTCCGAAAGCTGCAGAAACTTTCGAACATGCAACGTAGTTATGAAATTCCAATTTTATATGCAAAAATAAGTGCCAGTCATGCATGATCAACCGCTTGTTTTGGTAGGCTAGCTTTAATTTCCTGACTAATATCAGCCACAAACAATTAGTATATTGTTCTTCCTCGAGCAGCGAACCTTGGAAAGGGAAACCTTTGAGCACTTTTACGTGTAGGTGATGTACTTATTCTGACTCTGCATGTTTCAATAGATAACCATGTAGCGATGGTGCTTATTTTTTAATAGTAGCATTACATGTTTTCAAAACCGCAGCCACATTTGCAAGAAACAGATTTGGATATTTTTCTTCTCTACATGAAAAGGCATCAACTTTTCCACATGCAACGTAGGCATTTTCGCTTTAGCACAACATTGGCATGTGCTTTCGGACACGCCATTTTCCAAAGCTTTCTTTCATTTTAACGAAATGTTTCCAAAGCTTTCATATTTAAGTCAAGACAGTCATTGATAATTTGTTTATTTTGAAGCAAAAAATTACTGCATTGGCTGCCCTGACCTTTCTTGAGCATTAATCTCTCAATGAGGGCTTAATTTGTTGAAGAAGTTTGCAATCTAAATGCAGTAGCGTTGTGGGAGACGCGGAAATAAATCAAATGATGATGACCCGGGTGGCCAGCGGAGAGTAAGTGACAATCATAAGGTCCCACAGCCAAGTGCCTTCCACGGCAACACGTATTCATTGACGTGGATCAGCATCTCTTTTGCCGTTTTGCTAACCAAAAGGCAAAGTCAGTTCCTACTTTTCTCCAGTACTCCTTTTTATAGCTTCCATCCCCAGGCCTCATGTATCCTCGATTCGGGTTTCAGCCTTCGAATTGAGTCCAATTAAACGTTCAACATGATCTATGTCTTTTCTTTTAGTATTTCCATTTTAAAATTCAACAGGTTACGTGGAATAATCACAACATGATCTATTCTTTCATCATATTTGTGAAATTTAACTACTGGGATTGGCATTAGCAATTTGATCGGGGAAAAAAAAGTGTGATAAAGAAAATCTTCTTGTCATTGTCATATTTAATCCAGTCTATCCCTTAGGCCAGCCAAATGATGTCATCGAGTCTTTTGTCGCAGTTGGAAACATAATAATTGTCACCTATTGCTATCGGAACAGCAGAGATTGTATCAGTTTAAGCAATGTTTGAGCAGCTGTTGATCTGTTTCTTATCCCATCTTCTAGCAGAGTTACCCTTATCAGAGCCCACCATAAGGGCACTGAAAAAAGAGTGACGATAAAAAGGTGAAGAAAAAGATGATTTTCACATTTCTAGCCCATAGATTTCAGCATGTTTCTAAAGCGATCGAGATCAGGAGAAAAATCCATACCTAGCGATATGTACTACACTTGAACGACCTCAACCAGATGATCAACAGAAGACGATAAAGATTAATGGTTTACTAATTAAATGTCATGAAATTAAGCAACCGATCCAAAGTCAATCTTTACTTTTCTTTTTTCTAATCTTTAAAGAGCAAAAACAAATGAATAATCTGTTTCATATTCTCATTTACATGATTTGAACAATAATCATGTTACTTGATACTTTCTTTTCATTTAAAAACACTTTGAACTTAGAAATATATATATATATATATATATATGATTATAAGATGCAAAGAAGAAAAAACTTGAAACGTGTAGAGGAGATTTTTTCTTTATTTTTCTCCGGCGAGGGTTGTTCCTGATCGGCAAATTTAGCTAGTCGCACCTAATAAATTCAAATGGTAAAAAATGTGCTTCACTTAGAATAGTTAAACTTAGTTTTTGTTTTAAATGACAGAAATACCGAAATATTTTTGGTTTTGGTTCTGGTTTTTTATGATTTACAGTTTCTTGCAACTTTTAGACTACTGTACTAAAAACTACGTGGTTTGTCCTTTATACAACAATAGATTTTATTCCAACTTCCACCCTATCCATCTATCTATCTATCTATAAATATTATATATATACACAGTAAGTGCGACCAGCTGATGTAAAATTTATTTCCTATCATCAAATCGCCTGCTTCCGTTCCATTCCTGTCTATTCTCTGAGAAACGAGAAAGGAAACATCGAACTTAACCTTTTTTTTTTAATGAAAAACCTCAAACACTCTTCCAATTCATGAGCTCCCAACCAACACCATTAAACTAACCTTTTTCTTCTATTCATCATCATCACACTGGCAGTGCAGCCTTTTTCTTCTTGAGAGAAAGGTATAATCTTCTTTATCAGCATTCACCAACCCATTTTGATATATTAACATTTAGTTAATTATACCCCAAAATTTCATTCAGATATATGGATCTGATCTTCTCTACTTGTTTATTCAGTCTGCTCTCCATCTTCCAAGGTAAGATTTTCAAGAATTCTTCCAACTTTTTCAATGTTGATTTATAGTATATAGTAGCGTTAACATTTACAGAGCCTGCCTTTATATATACACAGGGATTTCAGGGACTACATTTACACTTGTGAATAAATGTGACCACACAGTTTGGCCTGGTATCCTTGGCAACGCTCAGTTAGATAGCACCGGATTCGAACTACCATCTGGTGGGTCCCGAACCTTCCAGGCGCCGCCCAGTTGGTCAGGTAGATTCTGGGGCAGAACCGGATGCACATCAGACCCAAACACAGGTCAAGTCACCTGCCAAACCGGTGACTGTGGTTCCAGCCAAATCGAATGCAATGGCAGAGGTGCAAGCCCTCCAGCTACTTTAGCTGAGTTCACGATCGGCTCAGGAACTCAGGATTACTACGACGTTAGTTTAGTTGACGGATACAACTTGCCAATGATCGTGGAGCCAAGCGGTGGGTCAGGCACCTGCTTGTCAACAGGGTGCGTCAATGACTTGAACCGGCAGTGCCCGAATGAGTTACGGGTTGGGTCAGGTGAAGCCTGTAAGAGTGCATGCGAGGCTTTTGGGACTCCAGAGTATTGCTGCAGCGGTGCGTTCGCCTCACCCGACACCTGTAAACCATCTGCTTACTCGGAGATGTTCAAAGCGGCGTGCCCAAGATCATATAGTTACGCGTATGACGATGCTACGAGTACGTTTACATGTACAGGAGCTGATTATACGATTACATTCTGCCCTTCATCAACAAGGCAAGCACTAAGGATAGAAATATTCCACTATTTTAATTCTTTTTCTTTATGCTTTTTTTTTTATATATAAATGATTAGGTTTTGTCTGGGTTAATTTTTCTACATTAGAATCCATAAAACAAAAAAAGTGCTAAATGAAACAACTTTGTTCTATTTGTATCAGAACAGAATCTCCTTTTTAACCATTGCCGTAGTTTTTAAATGGTAAATAGCTCCATTTAGGTTTAAATTCAATATTATGTTAACATTTGTGTTGCTGCAATGTCAACATTTTTATTAACCATTGCTGTGATTTTATATTTCAACAGTAAAAAATCTGCAAGCAACACGACCCCAACAACAACAGGCACAACAGCAACGACGATGGGCACAGGGCCGACAAGCACCACATATGGATCTATTACAGGGTCAGGAGAGGTCCCAACGGACGACACTAATTCATGGTTACTAGATTTTCTTACAGGGGAGTCTTCCGGGACTCTTTCTTCTGCTGTTTTCCACACCACATTGTCAGCTTCAGCAATTTCCTTTCTCTTCCTCTCTATATTTTATTCGTAATCTCAAAGTTACATAAGCAGCTTATTTAATTAACAGCTAACGTGGAAATTAATTTGGGATTCTTCTGCATTATGGGGAGTACCGCTGTTGAGGTCCAGATTGCAAAGCCCAATTTTCCAGGCCACGTGTATAGAAAAACAAAAGTATTACTATTTTTTTTTTTTACATTATAATTTAGTTTTGGCAGAGTTGAACACCAAAAGCAACAAATTCGAAAAAGGAAGAGCTTTAGTCATGATTTTTAATTGACTAATTAGAGGGCATTTGAGGAAAGTGTTACATTGCGGTGAATCTGAGCAATCTGGTTGGTATCTGTTGATGTGTAGCTGATAAAGGAAAGCCCCACTTTGCTGGAATTGCAAGCTGGGTAGTTTAAATTGATGATTTACTTTAGCCGCAATGAGTCTTGCAATTCTGGTATCTATGACTAAGGCCATTCTTCCATCATTTCCTTTTATCAAATTTGGTTTTTTTGTCTGCAATCTGCATATAAAACACAAGCAACTTAGCATACATAATAAATTAATGTATCACGACTACAAGAATGACATTTTTGCATATGAATATAAGAGAATGAGATTGAAATATGCAAGTATTATTCCCTCTTGTTTAGCTGCACAAACTAAAATCAATCGTGTGGATTAAGATCGGCATTGCTTTTTATCACTTGGGATTGAGCTATAAATTCTCAAACATTGGCAGATCCATGCTTTGAAATAGTGTGTTTATAGACAATTCTAAAAATTAAAAAATAAATAAATTTGAAAGAAAAAAAAATTTTAAACACCTTCAAAATTTTTTCTTCAACATATTTCTGTCAATAAAATTAATAAATTTATGAGTAAATTCATATATATATTATGAGTAAAGACCTTCCAAAAAATCTAAAATCCGTCAAAACTTTGAACTGCCGACTCCTCAGTTCTTGTGCATATTTTCGGGACAGATACGAGGTAAGTGGTGCCTGAAATCAATCATGGATTCTTACCAATGGTCTCATAATTATGAAGAGATCAACTAATCATATGAAGTTCCAAAAACTACAAACAATGAGTATACTAATTGTCATATCTCAGCTTGGAAGTGAGCATATAAATTTCAACCATGCTAGAAATTTTTTGTTCCAATAAAGTGTGCGATGGAATCTAGATATGCCACTTGAATCTCTCCGGCTTTGAAGATTGAGATAGAAAGGTAAAGATTCCCAAAATTGTAATGACACTTGTAAAGCCCGAAAAAGCTACCGTTAGGATTCCATTTTCAGTGGGTTTTGAGCGGTGATAAATTGGCAAACTTGCGGACGGGACCCTTCTGACCTCCCTTAAAATTTGAAAGGAACAAAGCGACTCGTCCTATCTAGGCATTGCCACTTTCCTTTGTTGAAATTGGCCGCGTGGTCCAAAACCAAAGCCCCCATTTTATCAGAAGGAAAGGGAGAATTTCGTCATTACATGATAGAGAATATGATTAAGCCGCAAAGAAGGCGTTACATAAGGATATGAATATTACTCATATTTAATAAGAAATTAATTTTTTATTTGAATAAATATGAAAATAAGTATTATATTATAAATATAAAGATGATTACTATAATTTTAAATTTTTATTATATATAAGAATGAAAATAGATAATATAATATTTATTCAGTACTTGTTTCGTATCCGTATCTTATAGATATTTATATTTATTTAGTAAATAATTTTTTTTTAAATTATTATTCTAAATTAATTAGAATTAATATATTTTATTGAAAATGTATATTAATATATATTTATAAAATAATTGCTTAAATATACAAGATAAAAATTAAAAAATTAAAAAATTAAAAAAAAAATTATTTTTAAAAAAAAATCACGGGTACGAAAATTACTCATATTCATTAAATACTCATAGAGATGAAGATGAAAATATATTAAAATATCCATTAGACATTAATACAAAGATAAGTATAATATAAAAATCTGAAAATGAAAATGAAAAATGTTCTATCCTACTTGAATTCTACCCGTTGACATCCCTAACACTACCGCTTTTATGCGGCTTTTGACAAAGATTCTTCAGTTTGGAGCTTTGAAATAGCAATTTTCAAACCATATTTCAGAGTTTTCATTTAGTACGATCCTCAAAAGGCATTGTCTCACAGCCTTTATATTTTACAGGGTAAAATATGACATGGTAATCACTATTCTAGCAATGCTTTTATGGTTCACAAGTTGAAAAAGCCGCACAAATTTGGCCATTTTTTGAAACAAGATGAAAAATGGTTGCCTTCATCCACTGAATGGCATAAAACTTGGACGAATCGGAATCAGTCATTTAATTACAGATAAAATCTAAAGCAATGGCAGTTGGCCAATGATTAAAATAACTAACGACAAAATAATGGTGTCTATCTCTAACGAATCAAATCTGCGTCTTTTAAGCACTCTTTTCTTAGTGCTTCTTTTGTTTATTCTTTGGATGGCTCTGATAGAAAGCTCGCCAAAGCGCCAATGAATAGATTTGCCTGTCAGGAATTGTTGCTAATAAAATGTGGAATCTTGTTCCTTTTGAAACTCGATAATAAAGCAGAGGCTTTTGGATAATATAATTCACAATTGTCAAGTATAAGGAAAAGATAATGGATCCTGCCAGGCATCCAGCAATGTTTCTGCTTAGGCCAGCTTTTTCTTTGTGGAAATTTGGACCAGCTTACATAGTCTAGGCCCAGAAAAAAGTGCATTTCTACCCAATTCCCATTGGGCTTCATGGCCCACAACTCATACAGCATGGCCTATACTGATAGCTGGGGGGGCCACCATTCCACATACTCCATCGCAAGTCCCCATACCTCTTCCGCAAGGCGTATAGTTATACGGAGAAGGCCCGTATCACTACCAACAAAGGGGGAGGCCTTGAAATTTAGGTTCACAATACACAGACCCTGCGTCGAGCCTATGCTTTCGCCCCAGTTGGCATCAAACAAAGTTGATGAGAGAGAATCATCATCAATCCGAGAAAATCTGAAAAGCAATGACATGCATTGAAGAGCGGAAAATATGCACAGTTTAATTTCATTGCCTCAACATTAATTAGATACTGAAGACAAAATTCCTGAAAACTATGGTATAATTAACTCTTAACAACTAATGTTTTCTTTTGTCGAAGTTTCAGACTTAAAGTGCATCATGCAGTTTCCTCGTGTTCTGTCGAGAGAATAGACTACAGATGTAAAAAGCATGTCCTAACGCTTCAGATAATCTACAATTCATCCTTGAGATCAGAAGACTCTGTATCTGCATCATCTTTGGCAGGTTCAGCTTCGCTCTTAGGCGTGCCTGTGCGTTCTTTTGTCTCGGACTCAGTCTCTTCTACATCATCATCATCATCCTCAATTGTAGCATCAGCACTGATATTTAGGCTAGATTTTACCGAGCTGTAGATACGTGAGGCAAAATCCTTGGGATCAGGTAAATTGAAGCCACTCTCCATTAGAGCTGTCTGGTATATAAGCTGAGCTGTTTGCTTCACACCCTCATCCTGAAGATCCAACAAATGATTTCGTCAAAAAAGAAACTAGCAAAATGAATAGGAATTCCTACATGTTAGTTAGCATGCAGACCAAGGCTGACATCACAATGTCGGATTCTAACATGTTAAATTGCTACTACATAGAACCTACACATTCATGGTAGATCAACAAAAACAGAAAAAAAAAAAAAAAACGAAAAACATTTTCGGATTCAAAATATAAGAAATAAAGCAAAAAAGTAATGAAAAGGTATATTCTAAAACAAAATTATACCAACCTTTTAACTACATCAGAATCAGTTTGTAAGCCGTTTGGCACGGCGCCGATCTTTTCCTCATCTTTTGGTGGATCTACGGCTCCTTCCTCAGCATTTACTTGTACTTTTCTCCCTGAAACAACGGTAGATTCAGATTCACCGTTCCAACGCTAATAAAATCAATAAAAAAAATCTGAAAAATAGAAGAAAAATGGCCTAAGCTTACCTTGATCTGAGAGGAAACAGAGAAGGCAAAGAAGAATCAAAGAGAAAGGGATCGCCCACTTCCTCATTGTTCGCTTTTAGGCTTTTTTTCTACTAGCTTCGCCTTCGGCGGAATGATCAGTTAAATGTTAAACTCGGATTGCGAGGTTGTAAATCTTGCGTAGATTTGACTACGGGGAAGTGAATTGTTATGATTGATTGTTTCGCTTGGTCATTGTTGCCAGCGTGGAGGATCAACGGTTAAGATTTGTTTATTGGAACGTGGCGGAATTCTATTGGTTTAGCATTGTTTCTTCAACGTGGAGAAGCCGAGTGTTATGGCGGGGCCCACATAAGATGACTTCAAGTCCTGAGTCCACTTGACCAATTCTCCGTCAACGGTGCGTTATGATTTTGGAAACGTGGCGGATAACGATTGGACTATAGTTCCACGCCTGGCGTGGATTAACTAAGATTTCTGGATAGTTCTATGGCTCTGTTTGGTACGGGGAATATCTGTACTCCAACTACGGACTATGCTTAACCTGGCAACGCCGAAAGTTATGTGGGTTTTCATTTTTTTTTTAATGAAAATATAAAGTAAGAAAAAGTTACATTTGAAACCTTTAAATACTATCCATTGTTTGATACATGAAAAGAAGAAAAAAGAAAACTGTCTATTCTTAAATTCGTTGTATTTTGTGAATGATTAAAGCATAAGCCTACTATCTATCTTCATATTGTGTGTTAGAAATTTTTTAAAGTGTGTCAATTTGCGAAAATTTTAAGTTTTGCAAGTTTTAAGAATGATGAATACTACGGTTCTATATGCTGTGTTAGAAGGAGTTGCAAATTTTCTTTCCATGTTTCAAATGAATAAAACATACAGAGTTTTAAGAAGAACATAAAATTTAAATTTGCTTGAACATGACACAACATTTTATTGTTCCTTAAAATTGTTCTAACCTAGTTACTAGTATGTATTCCTAGTAACTTGTTTGCATTGTTACAACCATATAAAACGTGTTTTCCCAATTTTATTTAGTATAAATAAATATAACATATTCCTTATGATATTTTTACATTGTAATTGATAATGGTAAGTGACATTTATCAATTTATATAGTGAGAATGAGATGAAATTTTAAATTTTAAATTTGAACCATAATATTCCCTATTATTTTATGAAAGAAGAAAAATATACATCAAGACTTTGAAATTATCTATTTTTTTTTAATATATATAGAAATTAGAAGCTAAAACCGTAGTCTACGCCCATAAAAGGAACGAGATCGATGGATGGTCCTGGTCTGGTCCTAGTCTCCAAGGAAAACCCTCTTCAGCATGGGCTTATTGGTTGCAAGCAAGTAGAAAGTGGGATTCGGCTCCATACGGGCCACAGGTTCTGCATATGTAGTTGCCAAATCCAATTTTTTATGGACCTGGACCCAACCAGGCAAGCACCCAACCCAACTATTCAAATGCACCGTTTTGCTTAACGTTAGGGCGAATGGAGAGCGATAATAAAGACACCCTTAACGTTCTCGCTTCTTTTTGCCTTCCACGCACCTAGAAATCCCTCTTCTGAACCGGGAAAGCACGAACTCGCCTGCTCCAAATCCTATCTCATGGCTCCAAGTTTCCCATTCGAAGCACCCAGTGACGAAGAACCCGAACTCTCGGGAACCAAAGGCGAAGACAACGAAGTAGCAGAAGACAAACCTTCTAAATCGAAACGCAAATCTCAATCTCCATGGGAAAATAAATGCAATAATCCAGAAATGGAAAAACAATTACCAATCTGAAACGTGACAATGTGAAGGAATACACCAATTTCTAGTTGTCAACAGCTAAAAATAAGTCATACGTTTAATAACCAAAATTGTTCTTGCCAAAAAGAGAAAAAAAAATGGTAGAAGAGCTAACTTTCTATGACATATATGGAAGATAAGTTACAACTACATGTACCAAGCCTTCTATGGTTGCAATGGCCTTCTATGGAACACATAAAAGGAAAACAAGAAAATAAGCCAAAACTAAAACAATTAAAATCTAATTTCCCCCCCTTCAGCAATCAATCTCATGAATCATATTACATTCCAAATCTCCCTGTTTTATTCAGTTCAAACTCCCCTCCCATGAAAGCAACTGGAATCTTGATTTTCCAGATATCTTTGGCAACGCAAGCATCAATTAGCTTGGGCTTATGAACTGATCCAAAGTGAGGAAGGAAGCAACATAAATATGAACTTACTATTTTCATGGAAATTGCTGATGTCTGTAGTTAAATAGGTGTGGCTCCCATCCACCATCTGGTTCCTTCCTTTTTGCAACAACTCCAGAACTAGAGGGTTGTGAGTTTGCCCTCAAATGATCTTCTATTGACCTGTCTTGACCAGGCAGGAAAGACGGCCTTACACCAATGGAATCTCTATTTACTCCCTCAATTGCTAAACCGGAATTCAGATCAAAATTAGGCCGTGAGGGGACTGAACCATTTAAACCAACAGGTGCGTTGCTCATGCTCATAATGAACTGTGGTTGAGAGTAGGCTGGACGGACAGCAGATGTAGAGCCCATCATTTGAGGCACAACAGATGCTCTAGAATCGACCATATAGGGGATTGAGCCACTGGCCCCATAAATGGCAGAAGAGAAGGACATCGTTGGTGCCATAGCCAGTCCATTATAACTAAATGCAGGAGAATGTGCATATGACACAGTGGGACCCAACCCCAGAAAACCTACAGTTCTTGTCATGCTTGCATCTGTTGCAGGCTCAAGAGCCTTGCCATTTGGTAACGATACAACCTGAGGAACAACATCCTTCCTATTGACTTCCACTCTAGTACCCATTATAGAAATAACAGGATTATTTAGTTTAGGCCCTCCATATGCATTTACATTTCGCGAAGATCCACCATGATAAGTCCCGTGTTCTGAAGCATCATTGTGACTGTATGGTCTGTCATTCAAATCAATGTTCCTCAGAGAAAACTGCATTGATGATGATGATGAGGCAGGTGAAGGGCTACGATGCCCATTCCTGTTGTAAAAGAGTTGTCCCTCAACTCTTGACTCTAATGCAGGAGCATAAGCATCATCACTGATAAGATTTAAATCTAGCTTAAGTCTCTTGGATTTTCTTGGACTCACTTCCAGTGAAGATTCCACAGAATGGAGGCCTGGTGAGACTGTAACCTGTTTGCCTGACATTAGTTCAGCACCTTTTTCATCACCAGCTTCGGCAACATTAAGATCAAAATCAAGGCAATCCAGCCTTTGTTTTGAGCTACTGCTTGTTCCCCCAAGGGAAAGAGTCTTCTCACCATCAGAGTTTCGGCGAGGTGATGCTGGGTGAAAAGCACTAGTGGCAGCAGATCCTTTCCATCCAAGAGCCCCCTCAAACTGTAGAGGAGCTACAGGCAAGCAAGGAGCCGCTGCTGCCCTTGAAGCAGAAACTACTGAAATGGGGGTGGAGATGGAATTAACTGCGCGTTCCATGTCATCAGAACAGACTTCCTGGTTCAGGTCAAAATCACAAAGGCTTTTCTGAGTGTTGAGTTCAGGTTCTTGAATCACGGTCAACTGAGAGGCCTCCATGTCATGCAAGTCATTTTCTGGTTCATTGTCTACATTATCTGAATTAATTATGTGCCTCTCCACCTCATTATATGTTTCAGCAGACTGATTGGGTCCAGTTGACACCTCCTTTGGTATGAGCTGTGTAGGCAGGTCTTGCTTTCCATTTATGGAGTCTGGAGTACCGGGTTGCCTAATTCCAACTCCAGAAATCTTCTCTGAAGAGCTGCATGAAGGCTCTCTGTCATCTACTACTTCTCGCTCCACTTCTTGAGCAACTTTTCGGGCAACTTCTAGAGCATCGACTAAGCCATACTCAAGCTCAATATCAGACGTTCTGCTATCAATCACATCAGGACTATGGGTAAAATTGGTACCACCCCTCAAATGCTCTACTCCACAACTCTCCTTATCTTCATCCACTGTTCCAATGTCTTCCATCCTGGAAAAGGTAGTCTCCAGATCCCCAGGCTTTCCATATATAAACTCCTTCTCAGGGGAGCTCTGCAACATGCACAAATGAGAACCATTGCCTGAATGATTCGTAACCCCTGCATCACCCATTGCCTTCTTTGGCTGTGAAACGGGTGCACTATCATCACCCAGAGCAACTGATTTTAGAACATCACTCTTATTGGCTTCAGAATCATTTTGCAAATTGGGTTCCGTTACAGCCTCCTGAGCACTTCCAACACCAGAACCAGAAGAAACCAGTACATTTTCCAAAGTACTAGAGGAAAAAACTGTCATATCCAACTTCTTTTCATCAGTTGAAACCCCATTCAACTTCTGAGCAACTGAAACACCAACATTTTCTTGCTTTAATTCTGGCAAACTGCATGCCTCAGGGGATGCAGTTTCTTCCACAGTTTTTGCTGGGAGCTCTTCCTTCATGGACGACTTTTCTTGAATGGGATTTGGCACAAAAGTGGAGGCCATATGATTTGGAGATTTGTTTTCCATGTCTGCACAGTCTGAGTTTATGTGAGACTCGACCTGATCATTAGTAGTTTCAATGTATAAATCTTTAGCCCTTTCTGGTTGAACACCATCTAGGTTTGAAGGAAGGTTTTCATTTTTTGCAGCATCTACACCATCATTTTCTTCATGGGCACTTCCTACAGCAACAGGAACATCTTTGGCAGAACATTCTGTACCACCGTTTTCTCCAGTAATTATTGCATTGTCTGAAATCCCAAAGTCGCGTCCACCACTATCAACACCACTCTGAACATCATCCGTAACTCTACCTCGTTTCCAGTTATCAAAGAGCAATCTAGCTCTATCCTGAACTCGAGGGCTATTGTGGACAAGAAGATTCTTGACAGTAATCCAGATCTCTGAAGAAATAGACCTCTCATTATTTCTATGCAACATTTCAAGTGCTCGTAAGAGTGCACTAATTGATTCTTCCTCAAAACTGTCACTTGAGTCATTACCAAAATCTTGAGCATCCTTGAGCCATCTGCCAAGAAACCAGAGTCCATCTAGTTGAATAAAAAGATCGAGACAATCTTTATTCTCGGTGGCAGCAATTGTGCTTGCAACAGCAGTCCACTGCCTGGTTGCATCACTGACATTCTTCACAACAGAATCTTTACCCTTTTTCATTACAGTTAACAGCTCCTCAACCCGTGAAGGGGATGTCAGCCCATCTTTCATCTCAGTCAGAGTGAAAAAATCTTCCAGCGTCATGGTACTTCAGATACCAAACCACCAAACACTGAAGACTTTGTGACACAATGACAATTTCTGTTCCATCCAGAACAAGAGTGAAGCTTCAAGACAATGTCTAAAAAGAAATCTGTAAAATGGTATGGCATGTTAATTCTGCAACTCCAGATTTCTGATATTAGTTCTATATAAATTTTAAACCATATATGTGCTCAAATGCTACATCTGGTCAACAAATTAATAGTGTTGAAAGTCACCCCATGGTCTAACATCAAACTGGGTAGCATAGCTAAGAAATATGACATGATTCAAGTAGAAATACATTCACAACACTACATTTCTTGAAAAGAATATTTTAGTTACAGAATACGGCATGCATTCTACCACACAAATGCAGCATGAAGTTAGAAGCAGTTGTCCTCTGTAGATATACATTAATCAGCAGTCACAGCTGCTTGATTCGGTATTTTCAATACGAATCTTAAATGTAGACAATTGATTTGATTATCATATAGAAACATGCAATTATACAAATATTGACAGCCATGACCTTAAATGCATTTGGATGAGCGACATACAAGAGGTGACACCACGTAGATACCAATAGGCATGATATAGATGCCACTTGCAATGCCATGATCGGTGTATGTAAGGAGGTTGTGGAATGGTGGGTCAAAGAGATGACATTTTGTTAGACAATTAGTGAAAACCTCTGGTGAAGGCTAGTGCCACTAAAGCCCCATTAACCGGGGCAACTATTAGATCTTGAGAGTTTCAACTAGGAGGAATGTGGAGTTTAAGGGAAGGTAAAGGCTAATTTCTATCAGGTAACTGAAAGCTAAGTGGATCTCCGGATGTAAAACAAAGAATTATCAATGATTAAACTCCTAATGTACTAAACTTCATCCTTATTTCTGTACCAACTTTCCTCCCCTAAAGGAAAGAGGGTGAATAGATTGATCCACAGAGGACATAACTGCAATTTGAAGAGTTAAAAAATTCCCAGCATCCCCAGAACAATGCTCAAACATAGAGAACCATATATTCCTTTACTCCAAAAAATTGGTTATCATCATCAAAATAAAAAGGAAAGAAGTTAAAACCACAGTAATACACCTTCCAAACAAGCTGATCATGCAAAACATTATAAATTGTCAAGAAAAACAGATTCAACAAACAAAAATGACGGCACTACTCAACACCTGAAATTAAAGAACTTATTAAAACCCCAAGCTTTTAGAAGTATCAGAATTACCAGATACATCTTTGATTTCCAAATAAATTGAATTTCAGTTATAAAATAGAATTAGGCCAAATCAAAATAACAGACAAAAACCCAAAAAAAAAAAAAAAATAACAGCAATGCCTCTCAAACATTTAACAGGACAAAGAAAGAGCAATTACCATAAACAGAGAAGATCTAACCCTAAAAATAAAAAACCAGAAGAAACAGCACGAAAAACCCTAGCTTGATTGCTCTAATCTCTATATCTTGAGGAGCGCTGTGAATTTAAAAGATATCGAATTTAATTAAGATTATATTAATTAATGCAGAGATATAGCTGATTCTTAATAACGCTAACCGTCAATATGGAAATAAAATTGATAATAATAACCCAAAAAGAACAAAAATGCAAGAAATTGAAACGTGACACGTCGCTCACCTTCATCAAAAAGCTTTAAAAAAAGGAAAGCCGAAACCCTAGCTCTGAAGCCCAACTCCAATAGAGAGACGACACCACTCTTCTATTCTGTTTTTTACCCTTTGGCTTTGAGCTTTCCCTCTCCGTGGAGATAGTGTTTTTCCTTTTTTGGGGGTTTAATTTTTTTTCTCTCTCTTCACAAAACCTTCGCGTTGTCCTCTGCGAAGCCTTTTTCGAACGAGAGAGAGAGAAACGTTTCTATCTAGTATTTTTTTTTTTAATTTTTTCTTTTGTTTTTAATTTCATTTTTGGTTTTTGCTAATTTTGGTTTTACTTTGTCAATTTTCTGGTCGGTTTTTAGTTTCGCGGTTAGGGGATGGCACGTGCTGGGGGTGCGAGATGGTCAGAAATGCTTTCCCGGTCGGGTGGGGTGGGTGGGTCAAACCCGTATCTTCCTAATAATTTATAAATATAAAAAACAGAAGTTGCATAAAAGAAGAGTCAATTCGGGCGGTATTGCTTTTAAAAATGTGGGGCTTTTTATGATGAGCTCTGAGGGTGGACAAGGTCTAACCCCCCCCCCCCTTGAAAAGGACAGGAGCTTATCGTTTGTAAGTCACGTGTCCCTTACAGGTATGATTGTTCGCTCATCCAGGGAGGGAATTCCATGCCTTCGCGTGTACGCTAAAATTCGATGTGGACTAGAAACCAAAAACTGGATATCACCGAAGCCCCATGTTTTCACGAAGCCCACCTTTTAGGCCCCTACCTCTTTTCATCATTGATTTTTCTTTTTCCTTTTTTTTTTTAAGTTCAAAATAAATATTTATAAAATCTTTCAAGATATTGAGGCATGGTAACGTTCATTTTCAATTACATCCATTATTATATATAAAAAAAAAGTTGACATAACCCATTTTTGTAGTTAGAAAAATATTTCCTAGGATAACGCTGCGGCATGGTGGGTCAGTACCAAGTAAGCTGGTGAAGCCGAAAAAGTGGTTGACAAGATGGCTTGAAAGGAAGGGTGATGAAAGAGGGAAAAGGATAAGAGCGAAAAGATTTGAGGTAATCAGCGTAGAACACTGGATTGAAACATTGAGTGCGGTGGTCATAGTCATACATCCCACTCATTAGTTTTAAGTCCTGATCATTATAGGGTGCTTAGAATCTTAAACACAAAAGTTCTAATCAAAAACTTCTAAAAGGAAAGTAGGATGATGACAGCTTGACAAAATAGTGTTTTTATGTAATGAAAATGGAATGTCAGCAGCCTTTGCGGTCGTTCGTGGACCACCTTGGTTTCGACACTGGACCAACATAGCAGTCCTAATTTTCCTGAATGTATTAATCATCAGATTTGATATGTCCAAATCTCATAGTGCCCATTTGTTTTAAAGGTGGAAACTTTAACAACAAGGGCTTCCGCCAATTGGGCCAACTGGCTCGTAGAGTTGGCTTTAAGTAACATAGGCTGACAGGCGCTTCTAATCTCAATTGTGAATTGAGACAATTGTAAATGGTCCGAAACTCAGTCCATGTGAGCTCACAGACCCTATAGTCCTCTTGCTTTTCCTTTTGGATTTTAGAATAAATTTGTTATATTATATTTTATATAAAAATTACATATTAAAATTTATATCGATACAAAATATGAAATACATATTAATTTTATTAACTTTATTTATAATTATTATTAAAATTTTAAGTTACATTTTTTTATATTTTATTTTTATATCATATTTATGTCATGTTATTATATTATGTTTTAAATTATTTGATTTATTTTAAAACATTGAAGTAAACTTCAAATTAGCATTAATTTTATAAATAATTTTTAAATTATAGTAAAATATTTAATAAATATTTAAATTTAAAAAATTTTTAATGTGAAACTTAAATGAAGGTTACTTTTTAAGTAGTAAAAAAAATGCTGCCTTAAGTCAGTTGCCTTTCAAAAGCAGTCAAGTTCTTTCGGCCTCCATTTCCTTGCAAAATGAATTAGGGAGATATGCTTCTATGTAAGAATGAACAGCATCAGTTTACTACTTGCTCTCCCTATTCAAAGCACTAACCAAGTGGCTTTTGATTTTGAACAATGAAGCAATGGCTACCGCCAAATGTTAAAGGCCTGCTACTAAGTTCTAGTTTCAATATAAAGAACAGTGAGTTGATTGTATAATGTTCATCCAAAATCACCTTTCATGACATGATGCAATGAACATGGAAACCTATCATGTGAAGTGAGCATGGACAACTTCAAACCGCTTACATCAATAGAATTGTTGAATAATTAGGAACGTAAAATTACGCTGTGTGAATACTTAATCGTAAAGTACAATGGATCTTACATAAATGTAGAAACTTAGGACTAATGTAAACTAAATATGGTACAATCAGAACATGTTCAAGGAAATTGGAATGGAGGTTTGTTTTGAAATCAAACACAAACCTCATTTAACTCAATTAGGCAACAAAATCAAAGTTACTAAAACTGACTTCAGTCATGTGTATGAAAAGCAGCACTTCTACATTGAGAAAACAGAAAATTCCACTAACACAACATACAATTTTCGCCCATTATAGAAGGTTAGTGTACATTTTCTAGTACCCAAAACCTTGGTTAGGAAATTATTACAGTTTTTTATGTTTGTATGTAACTGCAAAGGTAATGATGAGCTGATAGCTGATGAGATCAAAAGGTGAGGATGCTTGGCCTTGGGGCAGACTGTGGAGGATTGGTGAGCATGTGAACAACTTCTCTCATGGTGGGCCTAGCAGAGCTCTCATCCTCAACGCACATCATGGCTACCTTGAACAGATGGATGACACCTGCCAGTGGGTACTCACTTAGCCTGGGGTCCATTATTGCCAACACTAAAGCAGGATCAGACGGCTGAGGGAGTTCCGATGTGGTCTTTCTGACCCACCTAATAATGTCTACCCCATCTCCAAATTCCCCGACGGGTTTTCTTCCTGCTATCAGCTCCAGCAGCACAACACCAAAACTGTACACATCACTTTTCTCGTCAATCTTCAGTGTGTAGGCGTACTCTGTTGTAGCAACCAGAGAGAATTTAATGGAAGTCATACTTTTCATGGCCAAAAACTTTTGCATTTCAAATTCTTGAATTGAATTGAGACCACGTTGTTACTGAATGTGTAATTATGGAAGTGTATGAAATTTATCAACATGAGACCCAAACAAGAAAAAAAAAAAAGGGCTGGGTCACGAACCTGGTGCAATGTAGCCATAGGAACCAGCAATGGAGGACATGCACTCAGATGCACCAGCATCCTGCAAAAACTTAGCCAGCCCGAAATCAGCAACATGAGCTTCATAATCTTCGTCAAGCAATATGTTATTTGACTTCACATCCCTATGAATAATCAGAGGCGAGCAATCATGGTGAAGATAACACAGTCCCTTGGCAGCCTCCACGGCAATCCTATACCTCCTCTCCCATTGCAAATGTGCACCCTTTGACCCATGCAACATTTCTCCTAAGCTCCCATTAGGCATATACTCGTACAACAACAGATTCGTGTCCTTATTCGACACGTAACCCAACAGTCTCACAATGTTCCGGTGCCTAATTCGACCCAGAGTTTGAATCTCCGCCGAGAACCCATGATCGCTTCTTCCAGTACCACGACCCACCAATTTTTTAATTGCTACCTCAAGACCATCCGGCATGGAACCGCGGTAGACAGTCCCAGCTCCACCTTTCCCTATAATGTTCTCTTCCTTCAAGCACTCCAGCACGTCCTCAGCTTTGAAATCTAGCCTTTGGAAAGCAGTGAGCTTCCAGGCTTGTGACTTTTGAAGTCTCTTCTTTCTCATTCTGTAAACCGTGACAATTATCAATAACAAAGCCGTGATAAACGTGATGATTGTGATTATGAGCTTCGAGAGTTTCGAAGCAGTGAAAGACGCTCCCTGGCCATGACCCGAACCTCTAGCTTGGTTTATCAAAGCTGGACAAGTAACGTGGCGCGGTGAACAGAGGTTGGGGTTTCCAGTAAACGAGCTATCGTTGAAGACTAAGAATTGGCCATCAGTGGGAATTCTCCCATCGAAATTATTATCCGAGAGATCAAGAATTGTGAGACTTGTCATGTACCGGATTTCAGCAGGGATTAAACCAGTTAGCTGGTTTCTTGAAAAATTGAGAATGCTTAAATCTTTCAACTTGTCAATTCCTTTTGGAATTTCACCAGTAAGACTGTTCTGACTGAAATCAATTGAAGTAAGTGAAGTACACTGAGAGATGGAAGGAGGGATTTCACCAGTAATATTGTTGTCACTGATGTTTATCTTTGAAAGTAACTTGATGTTGAAGATTTCCTCAGGAATTTCACCCCAAAATTTGTTCATTTCAAGAGACAAAATTTGTAAAGTACGCAAATTTCCGATTGCTGGAGGGATTTTACCAGTAATCCTATTGTTTGAAACTCTTAACTGACCAAGCGAAGCACTTGACATCTGGGACGGGAGTTCACCAGAGAAGAGATTATTGCCTAACTCGATGATACTCAGCAAGGGCAAGTTGAAAATTCCAGCTGGAATTGCTCCAACGAGAAAGTTGTTCATGATACGAATCTTGGTAAGAGACTTGCATTTGCCGAGTTCTTCAGGTAGTGGACCAAAGAAGAAATTTTCCATCAGAATCAACGTCTCCAACCTCCCTCCCTTACACAAATCCCGTGGAATCAATCCAGTGAGGTGATTCGAAGTTACGTCAAGCTTATAAAGTTTCCCGTTGAGGCCAAGATTCTCCGGTAATTCACGCGTGAAGTTGTTTCCCCACACTTGAAGCACTTCAAGATGTGGAAAATCACCTACAAATGACGGGATTGAACCGTAGAGATTATTTTTGAACAAATTGATGAGTGTAATGTTTTGCAAGGCAGAGAAACTCTCTGGTATCTCCCCTGTAAGTTCATTTAGGGAAAGATCGAGCGATTTCAAGCTGATTAAACCAGAGAGTTGAGAAGGAATACGACCAGTGAGACGGTTCTCTTGAAGGAACAATGAGTGCAAGTGTTTCAAGTTGCTCAAACTCGCAGGAATCTCACCAGTTAGGTTACAGCTTGCCATGTCGAGAAGTTCGAGTTGACTTAATGATCCAAACTCAGGTGGAATTCCTCCATCATAGGCGTTGAAATATCCAATTAACAAGTTTTTCAGGTTTTTCAAACGAGCCAAAAACGCAGGACTTTTCCCAGTTAAACCGATGCCGTTTAGACCCAAGTATTCCAAGCTCTGGATGTCAGAGTACTTCTCCGGTATCTCTCCCGTGAAAAAGTTGCCTCCAAAAGATAGATGTTTTAGAATTTTCAGGTTCGCGACCTCAATGGGAAGAAGACCCGTGAAGTTATTGTTATAAGCATCAAGAATCTCAAGCTGAGTCATACCTGTAAGGACTTCTCCAGGGAAACTGCCCCTGAAAACATTGTTGGAGATGTTGAATATCTTGAGAGAAGTCAAATCCCTCATCTCCACTGGAATCTTCCCTGTAAGATTAACGGTAGATATAGTGAGGTTCACGAGCTTGTTCAGAAGCCCTATCTCCGGAGAAATGGTGCCAAAGAGAGGAGAAAACGAAACATTCAGAGCAACAACACGGAAATCCTCATCGCATTTAACACCAGAGAAATAGCAATGCGCAGATGGAGATGAGGAGAATTCCCAGTCATCGAGCCCTGAACCTTTGCGTCCAATCATGGAAGACTTGAGCTTCAACAGAACTTCAAGATCACTGTAACCGTTACTGCTAGCAGAATATAGTAGAAGAATCAGGGAAATATAGAGAAGAAGGTAATTATAAAAGCTTCTCATTTCTATGTTTTGTTTCACTGTTCCCTCTATTTGCTCAGAGAAGGAGAAGTGAATGAAGCGTTAATTCTATGCATTGCGACTTCAACCCTCAGAAGCTACGTTAAGTAGAGTTGTGCAGTGCATTGTGAAGGGAATCGTAGTCCCCGAAGTACAAAATTCGGATATGAAATAAACAAATTCAAAATCTGAAAAGTCCCCAGCGTCGTTTTATCAGTGGGATTTACTTTGGGGATCATCAAATATCAATGTGGATCCTGTCCTTTTGGGAGAACTCGTGTAGACTGGGGATGGCTATTGCTGGGCCCAGATTAAAGGCATGGTATGCCCTTTCCCGGAGAAAGAACTTTTTTCCCCTCTGACTCCCGCTGGGCTGTGAGCTAAAAAGGACCACCTTTTTTGTTCTTTTCTCCCTTAGTCAAATGCTATACACAAGTCACAACCCTCTCGTTTTGCTTTCCTGGTGGCTGCTTCTCCTCCTCTTTCTTATCCAATATTTTTCTGATATATAAAATATACCGATAATTACACAATGGGGACTACAAAAGCACTGCAAACATTGTGGACTTCTAGGCTTTTAGGCTATAACTCAACGAGTTAGATTGTGGACTTTGACAGTACAAATTGGAACATTTGCCAAAGTGACTTTTTTGGCTCGCTTCATGCTGGGAATGAGAGTAGTTAAATGAAGATTATTAAAAACTTGTTGCCCTGTAAATCACTACTCGATATGAGAGCTACACGAACTGTGTCAAGTAAGACAAGCATTGATACCCTTTTCGAAGATGTCAATCCACTATAATTGAAGCATAAATTCATATTCTGCGTTAAAAAAAGCGGGGGAGTTAGTGGGAGAATTCAATGTTAGAAGAAAATTGAGTGTTTTAGGGAATAAAGATACCAGCCTTTAGTGCTTCAAAACCTATTTGGGTATTTAGATTTGACCTTTTTAATATGAGTAGCTCTCTCATTCTCGCACGGTGAATGGAGGAGGAATAAAGAATCTATCCAAAAAGTACCTTTGAATATATAGAAGTTGGGAGATACTTGCAGTGTTTCGAAGGAGATAAATGTATTTTAAAAGTTGCACTGTCGATGGTTTCAACGATGTTTTCTTATGTTTAATTCTGTCTTTTAATGTTTTATATTATGTCTCAAACTTTGTTAACACTCAAGCTTTGTCTTCTAGATGCAATTGAAATCCTTATTAGCATAAACTCGTATTTGACCAAAAAAAAGTAGGAAAAGAGTTCAGGTTCTCCAAGCCTTCGTTGGCATTGGTCCGCCAGGCATATCAAAGCTTTTGTGAATAGCATAGCCAACTAGCAACTTCTATGCCCAACCCTCGGGTTGGAATAATGAAGCCAATATGGTAGCAAAATCTACCCGCTATTACATAGCTTTGAAGAATCTTTGCTAGAAGAATTCACGCTAGTGAGGTGAAAGGAGAAACTACAGTGGAAGTTATAAAGAAATGTTGAGCAGCAAGGGAGATAGATGATTGACTCGACGATATAGCAGTAGCATTGCAGTCATTTCAACAGAGCAGAGTTTCACAAATGTTCAACAAGATCTGACCAGGCAATGATGTGAAGAATATTTCTCAGCAGCGTTTAATCAATCAAAAGATGGAGTGCAGTAAAGTACTGGGCAAAGGTCACATCTGGAGGGTTTAGATATTGGGGTTTCATTGCTCACGGGCCGAGACTTGCTTATTTTTTTCTTGTTTTTGAACGACAGTAAGCCTGGATCGATAGGCTACATACCTAATGGGTAGCAAGGCCCAGCATTTAGCCAGTTATTTCAACTATTTTAACGGTCTTACTGCTGTAAGCAGATGAAAGATAACCAGAATGAAAATTTCTTTAAGAAAGGGTCCATAACATAGTAAAAAGAGTGTCAATAAGCTTTGATCAACAGAAGGGAAGGGAAGTGACGTGATGAAACACATGTATAGTTGCTAGCAACAGAAAAACATATGGAGTAATCTCCTTTGCAAACTTTCCAAAAACCAAATCGAGGCGTATTTAAGACGAAGTTCTCCACTGCATCTCAATTTGAATCCGACCATTCTTGGAGTCAATGAGATGATACTTTTCGTTGATTCTTCTGTTATTAACAACATCAGCTAGGCTTATAGTAACATACCCCAAAGATTCCTGGAAAAACATGAAAAGAATTATTATTGTTATTATTATTATTATTTCATTACATACAATAATAGGCATGGGGATCTGGTGAATCATCAATAGGATCAGAACGAAAATTCAAAGTTATCCGGACAAGTAAAGAAACAGAAGGGTTTGAATACCATGCTGCCTAAAGCTTCCAAATATTAAATATACCCTCTTCTAACAGTTCAGAGAGAGACAGAGACAGAGACAGAGACAGAGGAAAATGAATGCTATAAATGCAATGTGCACCTTGGGATGCAGTAGCCCCATCCTGGAGGATGTACTGACTACTTCCACGTGAATTTTATCATTTGTGGGTGGTTCATCCAGTGTATACTGAAATTCATCTTCCCATTTTGGATCTCTGCTTTTCTTTAGACGCTGTATCAATGCCAACATGATGGTCAATTGCAGACAAGGAATAAAAATGTATGACAACCAACAAGAACACAAAGCTCAGACAGAAAAGGGGATAGGGATTGATCATGCAGGCAAATATAAAAGAGGGAGAATTGCTGATTCACAGCCAATTATGCATCCTGGAAAGTGGAAACTTCCATATTTATGATTAAAACATCATAGTGCTAAACCAGATTACACTTCATAAACATCATAGTGCCAATTTATGTGAATGCCTGACTATAATTTGTACATGTGGGCCAGCATGATTTATTGAATATTTCCAGATTTTAAATGGTTGTAACTGGAAATGCCATTCAAAAGGTAAGATTCATTGGAGGTTTGGAACCAACCATTTAAATCCAAGCTTGAACAAACTAATTTACAGCATAGATTTATCACATACATAGATTTATCACATACCTTTGTTTTTCTCTCCTCCCCTCTAAATAACAAACGCACATGTGGGTTTGTGTGATACTTTCCTTCAATATCTTCAGCTTCATGCACAATAACCACAAGCAAACCTCCACCTGCAGGTGTTCCTTCTGGAGCTTTTTGTATCATACTCGAATCCTCTATGTCATTTGGTATCTCATCCTCCTTGAAAGGTTTGTACGAGACTTCCATGACAAGCTGCCCACGAGACTTCTCATTTTGTGGATCATTTGGGTTCATATTTTTCAGCAGATCCAGAGTCAAAACTTTTGGCTCATCAGGTGTAAGATCTTTCAATGGAACAACATTCATGCCCATCTCATCATGTGTGCCGACCTGAATTAAAGTTAACATACAGCTTGAGAAATACATTTGGAACATGACTATGCAAAAAACACTCGGAAATCTGCATAGGTTGGCATGGAATGTTTTAGATCCTAAGAAAATAAGTCCTCCAACAAGGACAAACAGAACAGTGACATGTCCCGTTATTGCACATCACCAAATAGAAAGGTTTTGCTGGTCTCCTAAGTCTATAAAACACATCAAAAGAAACATACCTGCTCCCAGTCATATACATCTATCTCTAAAGCTTGAGTATTTGGATCTTTAACAACAAAATTAAATTCCTCGTTCCATTCGGGGTTCAAGTTGCTGTGTTTCACAGTAGTTCTCTTTGCAGTGAGTTTTTCCTCCGTTAATTTTAGTTTCACATAAGGATCGGATTTGCCCAGGAGATCTTTCTTTTTAAGCTTCATTGCCCTCAGAACCTTCACATCGAGAATTCCTACAGGTTTCTTCATGGCTCTGCCAATTTGAGGAAATTTTAGAAGGTAAGAGATAAAGTCTCATCTAGTTTGGAATCCAGCAGAAAGCTGGAATATTCACACTTACTGTGTAGGATCCATTATTTGCACTTCTAAGGCTTTAGGCCACAAGTACATATTTGCAACTTGATCTTTTATGAGCTCCTGGAGAAAAAAGTATCCTTACTAAGCAAAAAGAAATAAAGAATTGGGGCATATTAGGATCGTATGCAGGATTCCTGGAAAATAAAGGGGGTGATGGCTGGCATAAAGATTTGCTATAGAAATGCAGTTTCCACTCCCCTTCCCTCTGGAAAAGTGAAGGGGAGAGAGATAAATGGGCATAGCATTCAGTGTACATAACCTTGGTTGAGAGGATAACCATCAGCCATGAGGTATATAACAGTGTTCTCCCCCACAAAACTTAATCTATTACAAGAAAAACAAGATAGAAGTATTACCTGGACAACCCTGTAAAATCCAGGAATGGCCATAACATCTCCCCCAAGTAACTTTAGCCCAAAGTCAACATGTGGCTGCAAAATAAAAATGGGAGATTAGGAGAAAAAGGGAGCAGAAAGAAAGAGGCAAAGAAGTAAGATCCTTCAATAGATGTTACAACTAAGAACTGCCTGGATGATGGTTTCTCCTAAACATATTATGCTGAACTAAATCATGATGGAACTTTGGGCAGACAGAAAATAAAGACATGAAATAATGTTAATAACATCATTTATAATAAATGGAGATGATAAATAAAATAGAAAAAGCTCTCCGAATAAGAATGATGCTTAGAGTCTTATGGTCTCTGTATTATCAGCATCAAATCCATAACATGGTTCATAAGAACTTATAAGCGGCACAAATTTTATTCCTGAATAAATAACCATGTAGAGCTTGTTACAACATACCTTGTCCATTAGGGAGACATATATATTGGCAAAACAAGGAAAGACACTGAGCAAGGGCTTCAGAGTGATTCGAGGAACAGCAAATACTTGCAAATCAACAACCTGAAAAAATAAAAAAATCAATGCTTCCTACAGGAACCAACACATATTTCTTTCTCTAGATCTCTCTGAACCATTTTGTTCACACACACACTCTTGTGCGCAGATGTCTGTTCATTAGAGAGAGAGAGAGAGAGGCAGAATGTGTACAGATATCTCTCATGTTTTTTCATGCATATTTCTTTCTCTTAATCCACCATTGCACTAGCAAATACCTGAACAGTGGCTTTTAGTCCAAAAGCTTTAACTGCGATAGTGATGTTAGGATTCCCTGCCCACTTAAATGATGGTTCCATAATAAGTTCCTTCTCATCAGTGACATAGACTTTCATTCCTGGCATATAGTAAAATCGACAATGAGTATCACTCTATAAAATTTTGTGATATAATCGCAAGGGAGAAGAAAAAAAAATAAAACATAATTTGTGCATATAAGCTAACAACATCATAACCACCTTATGCATACAATCTAGGCTACTTTAAATGACAATAAGCAATCATGTTCTGAAAGAGACTACTTTTCAATACTTTTCTTGAATTATATGCTACATAATCAGAAGCCAAGCCATTGTTCTGACCCAGCTTCCTTACAGACCCTGACAGTCAATTTTTATGGAACTCGCAGCAATCTCAGTTATGGACAACTTTTCTTCCAATCTGAAAATTAGTTATCTATCACATAAGAACTGAGAGGGTTATACATATACATATATAAATCCAAAACCTCATTGTTACCTTTTGTTAGTCTAAAACGTAAGCAAGACATCTAGCATGCTGCATTCTTTTCAACATAAGTGCCACGATAATGAAGATTTTTAAAAAATACAATGTTTCCATCATGATTATCACACCAGGGATAAATATCTCTCCTTTGAATTCAGAAAAGAATTCAGATCAGGTGATTACATGATGGGAACACATTTGATATGTCATTGTTGAGATTATGTGTGTAGAATGCATAAGTATGTGTTTGAGAAAAAGAAGTTAACCTTGAAAAGTCGGTGGTAGGGTACCCAGAGTAAGTGTTTCAAATTCAACTGACTGAATTTTGTACTTCGGAATTTGCTCTGCGATAATGGGCTTTGCTATATTCTTGGCGGTTGTGCAAATTGCCTAAAAAATATGAAGTGTCAACACTCTGGTAAGGAATTTAGAAAAGCAAGGCTAAACATACATAATAGAGGCCATAACAAGTCAAAGATCATTGCAGTTACACATACCGTGTCTAGATAAGGCCACATGTTCTGAACAAATTTGTTAAGCCAGTCAAGCTTCAGAGAAACAAACAGTTATAAGTTATAACCCTCTAGCATAAGACCAAGCATACAGAAATGCCAGGAAAATAAATAAGAAATCATAGCAGAGAATAACATACACGGTCGAAATCTGGATTTTTGACCCACAGGGGGATCTCTGGAAGCAACCGCTGTAGAGTTATTGAGTCTTCTTCGGCCAAAGGACGAATTTTAGGATCCTGAACGCATGACATATTACCACCCAAAAGAAACAATACAACTATCTTATAAATGGTACAAAAGGCTGAATCATGACATTGGAGACAATTCATGTTGTTGTTCTGCTATCAATTTAAAATGTTTAGTAAGATATGTTCCCACCATTTAGAGAACCACCAAAATAGAAGAAAAGACAGCAGAGAAATTAAGAAAGAACAAACAGGAAAAAAAGCTTACTTATTCGGAAAGTTTCTCAGGACCATTCAATTTTGTTTACTTTAATGAAACATTATACAAAAGTCTGAAGTCAGAAATATTTTAACTTTTATATTGGCATTTGGATGCAGAGTTCTTATTCACTTGGATGACGACCTATATATCTGATCAATGAGTAAAAAAAAGAATTGTGCTAAGACTGTATCTCATTTCTTCATTGGTTTTCAATATGATAGCTTCATGTGATTACTACAGCTTCTTATTAGGCACACCTATGTGTCCATCTGTTAAGTACCAATTACACACATTTATATATAACCGTTCCAACCTCTATACGTGGGACCAAAAGACATTCAAAGCAGGCTAAATAGTTTGGTGATCAAGTACAGTAAGCCCAATACTTAAAAAGAAAAAAAAAGCACTAAGCACAAGCATGCTACTGTTAAATGTTAATCGCAGCAGAGAAGATTTTCTCAATCCTAAAACTGAAATTTTCCTTCGAAAAACTTAAGCAAAATCACGTTTTTTGACTGAAAAATGGTGGATATGCATCTTTCAAAACCTTAGCACAGTGAAACATGGAGATCAAATCCATAAACGAAAATTGGCTTAAGACAATAGCTGGAATTAACCATAATTACGATCCCATGAATTTATCAGAACATAAAAAAAATGATCAGCTTTAGAATAAAGTTAGCACTTTTTTCAGTACCTATTCATTCCTTCGACTAATAAATGGACAAAATTTAAAGCTACTTATGGAAGTACAAGAGAAAAGCAAACAAAGAAGAACCAGAAAATACACACACACAAAAAAAAAAAAAGAACATAACGAGAATTCAACCGAGAAAAAAACAGACCTTAACATCAGTGGGCAGGAAGTAGATGAACATGTAATACCCAATGACAAGCCCAATCGAAGTTCCAATTCCAAAGCCAAAAAAACCCAAGACAGAGCTCAACACACCCATTTTCCAAAGCTTCTTTTTTTATAAGATCGCTCAAATAGTTAAACCAAAGTGGCCAAAAGTTTTTGCTCCGTTCAAGTTGAAGTAACACCAGAAGAAGGAAGAAAAAAACCCAGAAAAGGAATCTGAGTACCAAACATTCTTGTCTAAGGTAAAAATTAAAATCGAAAAAAAAAAAAGGGGAAACAAAGGCAAAGAGATATTACGGTTTGAATCTTAGCAGGAAGAGTGCATTAAAAGAGTATTTACTTCTTGCGGACAATCTTTACGTTCTGCACAACGGTTTCCGCTATGAAATTTTCAAGCGCCTGATTGTTTGCCTATGTCGGTAACGCCCAAGTGTTTGGTTAGTTATGATTTCCTTTCGTTTTTCAATAGTTACTATCAATAGGGGCCAGTCTTTGTAACGGCAACAGTGTTTTATATGTAGCTGAAAAGCATGGTGAGAGAAGACATGTCCAAATAAATGAATTCCATTGGTCTTCCAATTTGTCTTTGTCTCTGAATTTTTTTATTTGTACTTGTACACTTTTTGCCTTCTTTATTACCAATTTCGCACTAAAAAGAGTCGTGCCATTTTTGTATTTTTATATGTTTCAGCCCAAGACCTAATCATAACGGTCCGATCAAAAAATATTCTTCCGTTATGTGTAGCGTGCTACTGCCCCATTTCTGTTGTTCCGAAGCGGGTATTAGGCCCTGTTCACATTCCTCATTTAGACCCTCAGATTTTTTTTATTTATTTTATTTTTACTATTATATGTTACTCTTACTTTATTAATTTTTTATTGTGAAATTTAAATTTCTCATTGTTAATGTATATGATAATTTTTTCTTAGTTAATGAAGATCAAATTTCACACATTTAAAAAAATTAATTTTTATTTTTTAATGAAAATAAATGAACAATACTAGGGGTAGATACTATAATTAAGTTTTTTTTTTTACTTAAAATTATCAAATTAAGTTAATTGCTAGCAATGATAATTTAAGATGTAGATATTTCATTACAAAATTTCATGCAATAATTTTAATTTAAGAAAATGTATTCTTAAATTAAACTAATCGTGACAGTGGTTGTTTAATCTAACTTTTTAATCCACCTTTTTTCGGGAATCATAGCAACCTTTGGTTTATATAATTAGGAGAAGTTCCAACATTTTGTGGGACAAGAAGCAAATCAAGTCATCCATAGGACCATAACATTATTATCATCTAAATGTTCCCTTTATCCTTGTCGACAGCTTGGACCTATCATACAAAGCAACTTTTATCTATGTTTTCCCTGTCACCAAAGCCAGCCCATCTGGACAGATTTCTCCGTTGCTTTATTTCTTTTTTTTTAATTTATTTCCAATTCCCTCGTCATCTCTTTTGCTCATATGAAATAATAGTGTTAACTATGCGATACTTTTTTGCCTTGTTATCTCTTTTACATGAAATTAACTATGCAACCATCTATGGTTGCTAACTGCTATTGCCTGTTGCTATCATCTGCTTTCTCTGAGCATAGTGCATCATTGCCTAAGCGAAACCTAAGGTTGCTTGAATAATGGATTCTGGTCAGGTTCTAGACATGTGCCATTGCGCACCATGACCATGACGCGAGTGTATTGGAGAAGAAAAGAGCCCCCGGATGATTAGCTTTTGGTTTAAGCATTTGGGCCCGAACCTTTTAAAACCATCATTCGATTAATTTCTCCACTGACAAGTAAGTAAAAAAGATGCATTCACTTGTCTGTTACTGGACTTTTATTGGTGAACAACACCATACGCACCCAGGAAAAAGAAAAGGTAGTGTAAAGAACTTATAAATTCTTCTTCAATTACCTGTTCAGAGAAAGATATCACAACATTTTAGCTTGACAGTCCAAACTACGAGCAGGCAAAGAAGATACCAGCTTTGTGTTGAAGCAGCAAGCTTCTGGAGTTGTTGGCCCAAAGCCCCAAACAGGCAAATGGATCTGCTTGTTATTAAGTTAATCTCTAAGTCCATTTCAACATAGAAAAGCAAACTTGGTGAGCCCAAAATGGTAAAAATAGTTCATCTTTTTTCATCATTTGACCATCCTTTTAAGAGAAACTAGTCTTTTGGGTTTTGTTTATTGAGACGTCAGATGACCCTTGTGTCATGCATGAGCACCGATTTAGTAGCTTAATTTTTTCATGCCCTCTTTTACTTTTTCTTTACTCCAATTATTGATTATTCCATGGTATAGAAGCACATTTCACCCCGAGAAAGTTCATTGGATCGACAAGGGTCAAGGGATCTTCATAGGATTTTTATCGAGGAAACCCAAGTAATTAAAGACTGCCTAGAACTGAACAAGAAACGATCAACCCATGGCTTGTATCAACATTTGGTAGGTGCATCTAAACTGATAATCGCACGTCACCAACTAATATTTATATAAAACAAATGATGAAATTGCAGTCATATTTTGCAAGCATTAGTTTATGTTACGGAAACACTAAACACATGTCAAATTGCAGATAACAAAATTTATAATTTAGTACATAAAGTTTGTTTTCAACATGTACGTCGCCTTTTTGGATTAACATCATTAGTTACGTGGCAAAAATGCCCAATGAAATCTTGCACATGGCAAAAAAATGCCATGTCATTTTTGTTTTTTATTTTTATTTCTTAACTTGAAATTTAAAAAAAAAATGAAAACTGAGGATGGATAAACTGGGTAGAGAAAAAGAATGGATGGGTGGGGAGGGGTCGGTTACCGGCGTCTCACGGCCGGCTTGAGTCATTATCGCACTTTCGGTGTCGAAGGCTTCAATTTGTCACCATTGGAAAACATTATCATGAGTCATTATCGCCATTTTCAACGGTGTGCAGTGCACTTATAGGGTCAGATTAGCCAGTTAAATGCAAGATTAAGTGGGTCCCGAATAAATTTCGTCTTTAACTATGCATAACGCCCCATGACTATGGTTGGTCCATTCGTTGCTTGCTAAAAATACTTGCCAAGATTATAATTGAAAAATGTTGACATGTCTTCCAAAAATACTTGCTAAGATTATTAGTTAAAAAAAATTTTTTTTTGGATAAATTGTATTTTATTTATCCAAAAGAAGCAATAAAATTACCACAATACATACACTCTATATATATAATCAAATCATATTCTAACTGTTATACAATATAGCTTTATTTATATTTCAAACATTACACAAAACCTTGTTGATTGGATCAACAGCAATCGAATACAATCTATAAAATCAAATCTTAACAGCTTTCTTGATCAGTTCATACACTTGTTCTTCTGTTTCTTCTTTATTATTGAATAATCTGCAATTCCTTTCTCTCTATATATAATATATATAAGCATTCCAAGCAATACACAATACTACTGATATCAGTGTCTTACTTTTTATCTTTGTCACTGTCCATTTCAATTCTTTAGTCCACTCTCCGACTACTATGTCAATATTGCATGATTGTAATACCCTTCTCCACACCATTTTTACATATTCACAACCAAAAAATAAATGGTCCTTGGATTCCTTCCAATGTTGACATAAGCAACACCTTTCATCTACCTCCACTCTCTAATTCTTCAATCTATCTTTTATTGGAAGCTTATTTAGTATAATCATCCATGTAATCATTGAGTGGTTTGAGATATGATACTAAAACCAGATTAGTCTATGCCATTCAACCTTTCTTTGCTTAAATCTTATCTCATTCCAAATCGTTGCAATATAATAGCCATTGCTAAGGACATGCCACATTTCAATACCATTTTCCTATTTTATAAATTGGTGTGTAGTAGTTCGAAGTTGAAGTAGTTTCTTCCAGCCTCAATGTTACCTTAAAGTGGTTCAACTTGTCTTATACTTCTACCTTTCAAGACATAGGCTTCAATCCAAGCTATCTATATAAATCTTGCTTTTTAGAAAATAGACCAAATATTCCTCATCATGCATGCCTTATTCCAAGTTAGTGTGTTTTTGATACCCAATCCTCATTCAGACATAGAGTGGCAAATGTCTTCCCAACTGACTTTAACTCTTCTGGTAAGCCTTTCATGGTTTTTTCAAAAGAAGCTAAAGCATAACTTATTGATCCTTTTTAACACACACTTAGGCAATATAAAATGTTTACATCAACAATTGTGTAAGTTGAAGAGTATTAACTGGATTAATTGTGTAGTTAAAAAAATATTATTAATTAATGACTTAAATCTTTGAATGCCATTAAATGAAAACAATTTTCTAAATAAAACTCACAAGAAGTGGTTGTAAAGATATTCATTAATAAAAGTTTGATTAAAATATTAAATAAGCATTCGAATTTTATTATTCTATTTATTTAAGTTTATATATTTTTATTATATTTAAATAAATTTTTATTTTTTGATTTGTATCGAGGGATATCTTATTTCAAATAAAATATTCATTATGTTAAAAGTTTATTTAAGTATAAATTAAATGGTAATGATTTATTTAGATAAAAATTAAAGTTTAAATATTTATTTAGATATAAAATAAAAATTAAAAACTTATTTGAATGTAACAAAAATATAAGATTTATCTAAAAAATAATAAATTTTATGATTTTTTATTATTTCGATCTAAAAATTTCAATACTACTATCATTCATTGATAATTTATAAAATAATATACTATATAATGATTTAATTAATGTCGTATCAACTGATGCTTGTAACTCATTATTTTCTTTTTGATTGCTATTTTTTTTTATGAAAATTTAATAAACTTACTTTCTTTTCTTCTAATTTCATAGCTAAGGTAGTAAGTTAATACAAAATATATAACTTTACTTCAAATAAAAAGATCAAATTATAAAATTAACTTGAATATGAAAGTTTTAATTGTACTTTTTTTAACAATTGACAGTAAATTACATGATCATAAACGTGGTTATACTACTTTAACATCACATTAATGTCACATGAAGAAAGCTTACGTGCAAGGCACCAACCAGTCATGGACCGGAAATCTCATCAAGCTAAGTCAAAGAATAGCTGAACGAATTTTATTATATTTTTAATTTATTTATCAATTAATAAATTTTAAATATTATTTATGACTGTTTATTAAAATTATTAAATAAATAAAAATTAAATCTATTAATAAATAATTATTTATCAAGTATTTTATTCATTCACACATTAAATGTAAATAAACTGAATATAATTTATTTTTTATTTTTATGATCAATTAATTTATTAATGAATAAAAATTAAATATATTCATTAACTGTTTGACAAACATTGCATATCTGATTATGGATTATTGAAGTATCACTCTCTATTGTCACATTAAAAAATAAAAAAAAAATTATACTATAAATTTATAATTAATTAAGCATAAATATAAAATTATATAAAAATTTATCACTTAAAAATATAAATTTTATGAAAATTTTTTGATAAATCTTATACTAATAAATTGTAATTGATTAATTCTATAGAGGTGAAATATTTTTCTAACAGATTAGATCAACCCTCACAAAATAATTATGGTTCGTACCAAAAGGGATATTGCATGTCTAGGACTTTTTCCAGTCCCTTTCGAACCAAACCAACCTCAAAGAACCCGAGTAAGTGATCAACGGCTAGCATCTCCTCAACGGTAATTTCCAATGATTGGATCCAACGGTTAAGATAGTATCGACGGCTGCCGTCCAAAAGTGTCTCCCTGGTCTTGGACTTATAGTGGGGTAGCCGATTACAGTGGTTGTCAGTAAATTAGGAGTGATGGTGACATTTTAATTATAAAATTGAAAAAATATACTAATCCAGTAAAAAATAAAGTAATTGTTGAATAATAAAATTTACATAAAATTTTATAAGTAAAATTTATAAATTTTTTATTAAAAAAATAAATAAAATTTAATAAAAATTTAAATTGATAGAGTTAAATATAAAAAATTATTAAAAATATATAAAAAATTATTAAAAATATTATTTATAATTTAAATTTGATCAATATTTATTCAATAATAAAAATTTTATTAATTTTTTTATTTAAAATATCTATTTAATAAATATTTTAAATTTTTTTAAAATTTTACATAATTTATAAAATAAAAACTTTTAATCTATTAGTTTTAATTTTTACTTGAGTATTTTTAAAAACTTCTTATAAACCTTTTTCATCGTTGAAAAACTTTTTGGTTATGGCTTCAATAAAAAGAGGCACAGAGTTCAACAAAGTTTGGTAGAGAAAATAAAATATGAATCCAAACCCTCTTAGATAAAAGGGGTCTTTCGGATCCGGTTGGGATCGAAGTAATTTAAGCATTTTTCTCTTGATGAATATAGGCTTTGTATCTATTATTTAATTAGCGTTTCGCTGATACAATTTTTTTTTGCTTTTCATTGAGAAAATCTGTAAAGATTTCCTCAGAGATATATAGATTTTCAAGGTTTTGGTTTGTCAGGCTTTTGATCGTATTATTTCAAAGATCATCAACTCCTTTTGGTTTATGGTCTCATTTTTTTACTTTGTAAAAGGTTCTTTTTTTTTTCTTGTTTTCCAGGATTTTGTTGACAGATTTCTATCTCCTTCAAGTCACAGACAAACAAAACCCAGTATTATGGACGCAATTTTCATGTCATCTTCTTCAGCTGAGAAATCATTTTCTCCATACAAGCAACTCAAGAATATTCCAAAGAGTTTAGCTCCCACAAACATCATCCATGGAGGAGGCCTCTTCTTGTTTGCTCCCCCACCATCTCTCTCCTTCCCTTATCCTCCTTCAGCTTCTCTTCCCAATCCAATATTCTATCAAAATCATCAGCAGCGGCAGCAACAGCAACAACATCAACCACCTCTCCTTCCTTTTCCAACCCCTAATAAAACCCTCCATGGCTCTGTCCCTCCTCGAACCCGAAGCCTGTCTTCTTCTCCTTCTAACAGGAAAAACAGGAGAACCAGATCAGACCAATCTCTCACACCAAAAAGTTCAAAATCAAAACAATTCACTGTCAAAGTAGAAGATCAGCCAAAGAAAGATCATTTGAAGCCTACAGAAGCAACGAAAACACAAGCCATAAGCAAGTCCTTTGTCATGGCATCAGCGAACCCGTTAGGACCCAACCCGAATAATCTACCCAAGGTCTTAGCACCATCATACCTAGCAACAGGTAACGTTGCGAAGGATTTGGAGAAGTTTTCAGTTTCTGTCTTTACACTCTCTCCACCACCTAGCAGTTTGCCTTTGCCAAAGTTTTCGCTTAGACCAAAGCTTAGTTGCAACCCTGAAGCTGTAGCAGTCGATGCTGGAGCCACTGACAATCTCCGAAGACTCCTACGTCTCCGCTGAATAACGAAAGTTTGTTTTCCCTTTGGTTCTCGTTTTTGTCCTGAAGTTTTCTTATGGCATGAGAAAATATTGTGATCACCTCCAGCCTCTTTTTTTTCTTCCTATAGTGATATAGTATTATAATGTAACTTGATCTGTATGCTCATACTGTGATCACCACCTTGTTTTTGAGTTAGGGTGAACATAAATTATATATACTAGATGGCTACTTTCTTATTAGATTTACCAAAATTTTTTAAATAGTAGTTGAAAAGTTTATGTTTTTTAGTTTTAAGTAAACATGAAGACAAAATTAGGTCAAACAAATTAAACACTGGGTAGATAAAGAAAATAAATAGAAAAAAGGAAAAATTAGATATCACAAAGAGTATTTTCTATACAAAATATTTTGTAAAATTAGAAGATATCTGCAATGCTTGCGCAATTGCTTGATTCTATTTCATTGTCCATGGAAGGATGGTGGATAAATGTGATTTTATTACACAAAGTAACATGAAACAAAGAACAGACCAGCAAAAGCAAGAAGCTAAGACAAAAAAATAATAATAATAAAACTAAAAAAACAAACTAATTACAATCAACAACATCCCACTGTTTATAAGAGCCCCCAATCATGCCAGATAGCAATATATCAATAGATTTTACATAAAATTAGATTCTGAAGCAGCCTCCCGTCGAGTGTTCCTTCCTCTCTAGTTCAAGTAAATAACAGCATACCAAAATCCAGGTCAAGTACTCAAAAACCTTGCAATTTTAACCTTCATCTGCTCCTCTCGCTGCAGCTTTGGAAAGTTGAACACAGACTCAATTTTCATTATCCCATAGTTTTAAGCATTATTGTAGTAAAAAACCCTTCTTTTTGGTCAGAGTTTCAGAGAATTATAGTAGTAAAACCCTATAAGCATGAACACTTAGGCCTTAGAGTTTAAGCAAGCCCATGCTAATTTTTAAAGTCTCAACTAAAGGCCCATACATTTAAGTGGACTGGTAAATTTGAAATTTAAAACAGACAGGCCGGCCGGCACGGATCCTTTCAGTTAAGGCTTTATTCAAATTAAGGAATCTAACTTTTAATTTGGAGGCACGGCTTTATTCAAATTTAAACAATCTTGTTCGTTATTTTTAGTATAGCTATCTACGACTTTATTCCAACTTTTTTATTTCAAAATTTTCAAACATGAAAAGCAAAAAAAAAGGGAAAGGCAAGGATTTGGCTTTTCTTTGTTCTTTTTTCTTGGTATTAAAAAGTGATATTAATTAAAACTAATACATAAGTTTTGGTGAGAAAAAATATTTTAAAGGCAAATTAAAATTGTTTTTATATTTTGAAAAAAACAAAATAAATAAAAAAAAAAAGAGAAAAAGATGATAAAGTACGTGGTAAAATTTGTTACAGAGAGGCTTAGCTGGCGAGAGGCTGGCTAGGTCAGCTTACGCTTTAACCGCATTTGTGATTTGTGATCGTTTCTAATTTCTCTCCCTCTCTATCTCCTTTCATTTTGCCATTTTTTCCCCCTTTTCTTTCTCTCATCCTCTCTCGCCATTTCCTCTCTTTTTCACTTGCTTCGGCTCGCCATTCAATCCGCTCCATAGGGTTTGCTTCGTGGAGACAAATGATGAAGCCTGTGGATCCCATTCTTTGTTCAACAACAGCACGAGCGTGAAGCAAATCTGAGAAAGAAAAGCCCAGATATTCTTGGAAAAGAATATCAAGATTTCGAGAAAAAACAAAACCGAGAAACGAGACAAGCAGGCTATAGGCGATTAGTTCTATTGTGGTTTACTTTTAATTCGTACGGCGGCAAAGGAGAATGAGCGCCTCGACATTTATAAAGTGCGTCACCGTCGGCGATGGCGCCGTCGGCAAGACCTGCATGCTGATTTCCTACACCAGCAATACTTTCCCTACGGTCAGCCTTTTACGCTGTTCTCTTTCCTGAATTTTCGGATCTTTGTTGCATGATCGCATGATTTATTACCATTTTTAATCTCAGATAGATAAAGGAAATCAGAATATAAATATTTATTGTTTTCGAATAAATGAAACAAGAATTGTTTAAAATTGTTGATGTTCGAGTGAGCTTTGTTGTATATTTCCACAACTTTCAAATTGCTCGGAAAATTTTGTTATCATTTATAAATGCTGTCAAGATTGGGGGTTAATGCCGTAGAATGTAGACAGATCAGGTACAACCAGATCTTTTCGCTATTAGTTGAAACCAAGATTGGGGCTTTATGCTCTTTGTCACGGCTAGATTATGTTGGTACTGATTTTCTTTATCGGTAACTGTTTGCTTTAACGTTGTTCTGGTAACAGGACTATGTCCCGACTGTTTTCGACAATTTCAGTGCAAATGTTGTTGTGGATGGCAGCACTGTCAACTTGGGTTTATGGGATACTGCTGGTAATTTGGAAATAGCTTCTGAACTTCCTCTTTTATTATTAAGTTTGTGTTGTTTCATGCTTTTGGTTTGAATTCATTGCCTTGGAACAGGTCAGGAGGATTACAATAGATTGAGACCACTGAGCTATCGTGGGGCTGATGTCTTTATTCTTGCGTTTTCTCTCATCAGCAAGGCCAGTTATGAAAACGTTGCCAAGAAGGTTTAACCATTGAATGTCTTGTCTTTTGATATAATAATTTTACGCAGTATGAGATGTGTGTAATGCATTTGCAAACTGACCATGTGTTTTCTTGCTTTCCATTTCAGTGGATTCCTGAATTAAAGCATTATGCACCTGGTGTTCCAATCGTTCTTGTTGGAACAAAGCTTGGTATGATTCGTACTCCCTGGATAATGGTATCCTTATATATGCTTTCAATAGATGTGTTTGTGAATTGCAATTGGTTTGATTCTCTAAGTGACTGAAATGTTTCTCAAATTAACAGAGTATCCTTTTATACTGATGTTTCTGAAATTCTTTCTGTTTCATAAAATGTTCTCATGTTTTCTACTCTTTTCCACTGCAGACCTTCGGGATGATGAGCAATTCTTTGTAGATCATCCTGGTGCAGTACCTATTTCCACAGCTCAGGTACATATTTACATGTTATTAATTTTTTTTTTCAATGAGAGTGTGTTTCACTTATTTAAAATATTGGTCCTGCATTGCTTTTTTCATAAGGGAGAGGAATTAAGGAAACAGATAGGGTCTCCTGCCTACATCGAGTGTAGTTCAAAAACACAGCAGGTTAAATATTCTCTACATATTCTTCATATTTTTTTATCAAAAAAATTGTGTTGAAGCCTTTTTTTTAATATGATGAGATCTTGTGTGACTTGTTTACTGCAGAATGTGAAGGCAGTTTTTGATGCAGCCATCAAGGTAGTGCTCCAGCCTCCAAAGAAAAATAAGAAGAAGAAAAAGGCAGCTGGTGGTTGCTCAATATTATGATCACTGGAAGATTCAAGTCTGACAAAGATGGATCAACCTGCCACCTTCTTGCTGCACGTATCTCTATCACTGTCACCTCTTTTAATTCAAGGAAGTAACAAGCCATCATGTATAGCCTTAACTGGCATTCTAGGGATTTCTGTGAAAGCATCAGGTGGTTTGTTTCGTGTTTTACTTATTGTCATGGTCTATAATTGATGACAAGCATTCCTTGTTGATATGCACGCCTCTTCTGTTTTGAGTTCAACTCTGGGAACGTCTTATATTTACATAATTTTAATTTTACTTAAGAATAATGGCATGAATGGCTCATAAATTATAGTGAAATTGAAATATTACTTGAATTTTAAAAAATTTTAATATGATATTTAAACTATGATTTTGTTACTTATGTGGTATTTGAAATGTTATTTATTCATTGATTTGGAGTTAGCCACATTAACATTATTTTTGGATTGAGAGGAGGGGCAAGGGAAGGAAAAGAAAATAAAGGAAAGTAATAAAAACAGAAAAAAAATTTTATTTTTAATTTAAAGGAAAGGAAAAAGGTGGAAACTTAATAATTTTTTTTTGTAATTTTTATTTTTATTAATACCTTAATTTGGGAGAAAAGTTAAGAAAAATTAAAAAAAATTTTATTTTTATAAAAAAGATTATTATATTCATATTTTTATTATGATATTGTATTTGATTATATAATTGATATGTTTTATAAAAATAGCTTTTTTATAAGTATTTTATATAATATTAAAGTTTATAAATATTTTATGATTTTTTAAGTTTTAACAATAAAATGAGTCAAATTATTATCAGAATAATTTAAAAAGTTGAATTTAATACAAAATTAAGAGTAAACTATTAACTAGTGAATATATCTTATCATAGTAAACATTCTCAATTTTGTTTAAAAAGATTTATTTATACAAGTTAAGTAGTATAAAAATATATTTTATATATTATATGTTATTTTATAAAAAAATGTTATAATTAAAAAAATATTATAATGAATTATATATTTTTATTTTTTATCCAAACAATAATTATTATATTTTTTTTTTAATTTTAACATGTATCTTTTTTTTTCTTTAAAAAATTTTTATTTTTTATTTTTTATTAATATCTATGGAAACATAACGTAATTGTGAATATCATATTAAATAATAATTTTATAATTTAAATATTATAAAATTTTAAAATTCAAATATTAAATAGATTAACTTTTTACATGTTAATTGAAATCTATTCAGTTGAATGCAAGGGAGGAAACTCCTTAATAGACTGTGGCCCATAGTCCCAATAAGAGGCCCACCTGAGGCCGAGGAACTAGAAGTAGGCCCGTTATACCTAGATCAGAAGCTGGACCAGCTAAGAACTTAGTAAAGCATAAAATGTTATATATAGCCGATGCAGTTCCAAGTTTTAACATTGTGCTTTTAAGCAATTGCTACGACACCCGCCCGAATTACGTGACCAAGGGCAAGTAAAATGGTCCCTCACTCAATCCCATTTTCAATGATTCATCAATATGACAAACACACGATTTTGGCACCGTCAAAGAAGTTGATAAGTCAAGGGTAGCATTTTCTATGCCGGTACAAGTGTGACGTAGTGATTACTTTTTCCTGTAAAATTGATTAATGATTTTTTTTTATTTGATAAAAGATTAATATATCATGTCTGTCTCTTAAGAATATTAGGTATGATATTTTCTCTCATAATCTTATGATGATTTTGTGGTGATAGTCATCCTCTCTACTTTCTTTTTTAAATGTTTGGTTTAGTTAAGACTTCGATATTATGCTTTGTTATGACACCTTATTAAATGACTATTAAACTGACTCACTTTATTTCTATTGGGACATTAGACATACCACATATCATGTGGTTATTATTTTTTCTCGTAAGATCAATTTATTAATATATGCAATAACAATATTTATATATCCAAAAATTTTCTTTATGCGATTTGAAATTAATCCATCTACCTTTCTCATAAGGGCGTTAGGCATGGTACATGCAGCAGCTACAGGTCAAAGTCTTCCTCCCATGACTTGCAAGTATTCTTAGCTCTTATGACTCGTGTCGATTGGGGCTGTTGCCCTGTTACCACTGTGTGCCTGTGTCTAATTAGATGATTGCGCAGATTACAAAACTTTTTCAAAGAAGGAATCTCAATGGTGTGGGCATTTTGGTAAGTTAGTCGTGGTCTGCCTTAGGATAAGCATGGAAAATTTGTCAGTTCTCACGACGAAGGTATACAAACAAATTGGAAATATAAGCGTCTTTTTCACTGACAAAAGAAACAAAGGCAACCACCAATCAAAGTTCGGAATTAGCACTTTACAACTGATTTTTTTCTACATTCAAATTTAAATGTTTTAGACACAATTCTGTTCTTGTTTTTTACCCCAATGTTGGTTTCGTGTTTGGACGTGAAAGATTGAATATTGAATACTTAATTTCTTTTGAAATGGTTATGAAAAGTTGAATTTTGAACTAGTCAAAAACTTTGCAAAATATGTTGAAGAAAAAATAGGGAAAAGTTAGCCTGTGTAAAGCTTTTTCATGGTATGTTTACTCTATCCTTCAAACAATATATCCAAATCAGTCATTTTCCTGTAAATTCATTACAAAACAAAAACAAGAATTTATTGTTTTGTGATGTGAAGTTGTAAACTAAAAAAAGTTTGTCATGTCAATTGAGAAAAGCATTTGCTGAATTTGTATTCATTTTTAAGAGGCAAAAAAGCGTTTCAGATTGTGCATTTTATAGTTCATGAACACAGTCAATCACCCATCCATCTTCATGAACCCTAACACATCAACTAAAATCTTAGCTAAACTACGATGAACCACCGAACCCCTATTGAAATCTCAATATCTTGATTGCTAAATAACATTCGGACAGGAATTTTAATGGCTAAATTTTCAATTTGAGATTAAAAATTTATATGATTATTTAATTCAAGACTAAACATTTTAATTTGTAAAAATAAAAACTAAACGTTATCGAATGTTTATAATTAAAGATAAAATTGGATGAAAATATGTACGTGTGATAGTTAATTTTGATAAAAATAATAATTAAATGAAAAAAGTATCATTTGTCACTTTTTTAGTGGTTAAGTATTATTTTAAATAAAAAATTAAAAATTATCCTAAAATTGAGATTTATGTTTTAGAAAAAAATAAAAAAATCATTTCATTCTTTTATATTATTTTAAATACAATTTAAAAATAAAAAGTAAGAAAGAAAATTCAAAGTTTTGGTTTTTTACACAATAATTAAATTTTCAATTACCCAATATTAATCTATAAAAAAAATCATCGATCTATATTATTGTTAGGAAAATGGAGTCCAACCCTATGTAATTGATTTTAAATCAATCAAAGGCTAAGAGCCTTGATCTTTCTTTTTACATAGAGCCCTAAGTGAGACTGTTTTAAAGTATTGTCGCAAACCAAGAAAAGAAAGAAGAAAAACCAAAAAAATAAAAAGAAAAGAGAGAATGGAGAGTTAGTTGAACGGAAGTCGATTCATGGTCCGATTGAGCTGAAATTTTGTCAGCAGGTTTATGATTTAGAGTTCTACATTTTGAATAATGAAGATCAAGTTTGAAGCTCTCCAGGAATAAATTTAAGGTGTATTTGTTGAATCACCTGTTTGGTAAGATTTTTTCAATTGTCTCTTTAATTTTTGATTAGCTCTAGTTTTAGCTAGAGAATAACTTTATATATCCATTATTTGATAGTGGAGATTTTTTTGGTGGTCTATGATTTTTCTCTCTGCACTTGAGGATTTTTCATGTAAATCTTGGTGTGTTTTATTTTTTTTTATGTTGTTGATTATTGATTGTTGTTTATTACTATGGATTTATTGCAATATATTACTTCTGCATTATTGTGTTTATTGATTCAGGCCCAACAAGTGGTATCAAAGCGAGGGTTATTTTGAAACATTAATACATAAACAGCCTAAGACAAAAGTAAATTCTATTTGAGATCATGAAAGATGATACATGCTCCATGATAAAATTGACAACATCAAATTATTTAATTTAAAAGCTTATGATAGAAAATAATTTATACTGTAAAGATTTATATGAGCTAGTATTAGATAATTCGATTAAACTAGCAGATATAAAAGATGAAAACTAAAAAAAGTTAGGTAGAAAGACGCTGATTACAATAAAAAAAATGGGTTGATATCAACGTGTTTCATCATATAGCGTATGAGGTAGATGCTCACACTGTTTGAAAAAAATTAGCAGTATTGTATAAGAGAAAAATATGTATGAATAAAATTATGCTTGTTAAAAAGCTTACAACTTTACAGTACAGAGATAGATAATTTATTACAGAGCACTTGAGTGATTTTTAAGATATATTTAATCGGATGACTACTATAGAGCTTAGCTGGATGATGAAATGAAGGCATTGTTTCTTTTGGGTTCATTGCCAGATAGCTAAAATACTCTAGTTGCGATAATTTTTAATTCAGCTCCTGATTACAAGGTGACATTGAAAATGGTAAATGATAGTATGCTTAATGAAAAAGCAAGGTAAAAAGATGTATACCCTGAAAATTAAGCTCTGGTAACAGAGAATAAGGGTAAAAACATCGACAGAGGTCAAAACTCAAAAACCTATAGTAAGTCTAAACATAGATCCAATTCCAGAGATAAAGTGAAGTACTTCTATTGTGGTAAAGTACGTCATGTAAAATGACATTGTAAAATCTTGAAATAAAAGCAAAAAGATGAAAAAGATAAGAGTTCAGATGATGACAATATTGTAGCAGTAAAGTCAGATAATAATTCAGTTACTTTGATTTATACACATGATGATTGTAATCATGTTGATGATCTTGACATTGAATGGATAGTTAACATAGGAGCGACATATCATTGTGTTCCTAAGAAAAAATTATTTACAACTTATAAAGTAGGAGACTTTGGTTACACTAAGATAGAAAATAAGAGTATGTTACAGATTGTTGGGATTGGTGATATTGTTGTTCAAACTAATACAAGCTGCATGTTAACTTTGAGAGATGTCAGACACATTTCAAATATGATAATAAACTTGCTTGCTATTAATGTCTTAATAAGAAGAATATGAGAGTCGATAAAAGAATGGATAATGAAAGCTTCTCAAATGATTTATGGTAATTGTAAGAAAAAAACTATGTTGTACAATGTATAAGACATGATGCAATTAAATGGCATCTAGATAAATACCATTAAGGATAATGCTTCAGCGAACTTGTGGTACAAGAGGCTGATACATATGAGCGAGAAAAGATTACAAGTTTTGATAAGGTAGTTTCTCATTCTCTTGACCAAATGTATGTCTCTTCGATTCATATAATCATTGTTTAGTTGGTAAGCATCGTATAGTTTTTTTTATAAGAGTTCTCAAAGAAAAGAAAATAGATTGAAATTGATTTATTTTGACGTATGTGGTCCCATTGAGGTTGAATCATTAGGTGATAAGATGTATTTTGTTACTTTTATTGATGATGCTTTACGTAAGACTTGGGTGTATATGTTAAAAAATAAAAGTAAGGTATTGTAATATTTTTAAAAATTTTATGCCATAGTGAAAAGGATGACAAGATTACTCTTGAAGTATATTTCGACTGATAATGGTAGGGAATACACATCTAAAGACTTTAAAGAGTACTGTTCAAAACATGAGATCAGTATGAGATGACAAAACCTGAAATATCGTAGCATAATGATATAGCTGAAAGGATGAATCGTACTATTATGAAAAAAGTCAGATACATGTTGAGGATGACAAAATTATCAAAGCCATTCTAGGGTGAAGCAGTCAACATAGCTTGTTATTTACTTAACATATCACTATCAGTTCCTTTGGGTTTTAACATTCCAGAAAGAGCATGGACAAAGAAAGATGCTTCATACTCTCACTTGAAAGTTTTTGGATGTAAAATATTCATAGATGTGCTGAAAGAGCAGAGGTTAAAGCTTGATAGTAAAGCTATATAATGTGTATTTGTAGGATATGGTGATGAGAAATTTGGCTATAGGGTATGGAATCCAATGAAGAGAAAGATAGTCAAAAGTAGAGATGTGATTTTTCATGAAAAAAAAATCATAGCAGACTTCAAAAAAAATGAAAAGATTATACGGATTATTATTAAGTGTGATATTTTAATACCGAAAGGAGTTCCATAGGAAAGAGCCATATATAGTGAAAATGAACAAGAAATAGAACTTAGGGATATGAATGAGCTAGTCATCTTAGTGATAAGTCAGATGCAATTAGTTTTGAGCAAGGAGAACAATCCTTTCATCTAAGAGTATTGAGCAGAGAAAGTTACCTTTAGCATCAAATGGTGTAGAGTTTCAACTTAAGAGATCTACTAGAGAACATAAGCCATCTACCAGATATCTAAGGTCAAATTTTATTTTAGTTACTAATGAAAGAGAGCCATAGAGCTTTTCAAGATGTGTAAGTAACTCCAGATAGAAAGTACTGGTTAAAAGTAATGAAAGAAAAGATGGAATCATTACGAAAAAATGATACATATAATCTTGTTAAACTTTTGAAAAGGAAAAAACCATTGAAAAATAAATGGATGTTCAAGTTGAAAAATGATGACGATAAGCTAGTGAAGTATAAAACTCGATTGATGGTGAAAGATTTTTTTCAGAAATTAGGCATCGATTTTGATGAGATCTTCGTTTCAGTTGTGAAAATGAGTTCAATTTGAGTGGTACTAGGATTAACAACTAGTTTGAATCTTTAGCTTGAATAAATTGATATTAAAACTGCATTCTTGCATGGTGACTTATAAGAAGACATTTATATAAATCAACTTGAAGATTTTGAAGTGAAAAAAAAGAGCACTTAGTTTGTAAATTGAAAAAAAAAAGCTTGTATGGCTTGAAACAAGCTCCGTGACAGTAGTATAAAAAATTTGATTCTTTTATAGTGAGCCATAGCTATAAAAAAAGACAGTGAATCTTTGTTTGTATATAAAAAAAATTTTGATGGTAACTTCATTATTCTTTTATTATATGTTGATGATATGTTGATTGTGGGACAAGATGTTGATATAGTTCGTAAGTTGAAAGAACAATTATCTAAGTCTTTTGATATGAAGAATTCAGGTCTAACAAAGTAGATTCTTGGTATAGACATTATCCGGGATAAAAGAGCTGAAAAGCTGTGATTGTCACAAAAAAATATGTTGAATGGGTGCTTAGTAGATTCAACATGTAACATACTAAATCAATTAGTAGTCCACTTGCCAACCATTTTTATTTGAGTAGGAAATCTTGTCCGATGACTAAGGAAAAGCAACTAGCTATGTCTAGTATTTTTTATTCTTTTGTAATCAATTTTTTAATGTATCTTATGGTTTATACACAGTTTGACATTGCTCATGTAGTTGATATAATGAGCAAATTTCTTTCTAATCCGAGAAAAGTTCACTGAGAAACAATGAAATAAATTTTTAAATATTTGAGGGGCACCTCAAAAATATGTTTGACTTATAGAGTTTTATAACCAATTCTAGAAGGGTTTACTGATGCCGACATGATAGGTGATAATGATGGTAAAAAATTTACTTCAAGATATTTGTTCACTTTTACAGGAAGAGTTGTGTTTTGACAATCTAAATTACAGAAGTGTGTTACTTTATCAACTACAGAGACTAAGTATATTGTAACAACTGAAGCAAGTAAAAAAATGCTTTGGATGAAATTTTTTTTCTTAAATTAGGGTTAAATTAGAAATAGTATGTGATATTTTGTGATCGTCAGAGTACTTTAGATTTGAATAAGAATGCCATGTACCATGCTAGAACAAAGTAAATTGATGTTGGATATTATTGATTACGTTTAGTGATTGAGGAACAACAGATGCTATTGAAGAAAGTCCATACTGATGAGAATGTAGCAAATATGTTTGACTAAGACACTTTCTTGAGAGAAGCTTGAGCTCTACAATAACTTGGTTAAAATGAGTTCCTTAACCAAAGTAAGCTCTAAATGAAACTGTTATGGTGATGAATTCCCTCCTAATGGGTTGAAGGGAGAACTATTAGAAAAATGGGGCCCAGCCCTATGTAATTGATTTTGGACCAATCAAAGGCCATGGCCTTTGGTATTTCTTTTTACATAGAGCCCTAACTACTTAATAAAATGAGATAGGGCTATTTTAAAGTGTGTCGTAAACCAAGAAAAGAAAGAAGAAAAGCCAAAAAAATAGAGAGAAAATGGAAAAAGAAGAGTTGGTTGAATAGAAGTCGATTCGTGATTCAATTGAGCTGAAATTTTATCAGCAGTTTTATGATTCAGAGTTCTGTATTCTGAACGATAAAGATCAGGTTGAAGCTCTCTAGAAACAAATCTAAGGTATATTTGTTAAGTCACTTATTTAGTGAGATTTCTTCAATTGTCTTTTTAGTTATTTATTAGCTTTAGTTTTACATATAAAATAACTTTATATATCCATTATTTGATAGTAAAAATTTTTTTAGTAGTCCATGATTTTTTCCTTTACACTGAAAGATTTTTTACGTAAATCTTGATGTATTTTATTTTTTTTACTTTGTTGATTGTTAATTGTTATCTATTATTATGAGTTTATTACGATATATTACTTCTGTATTGTTGTGTGTATGGCTTCAAACCCAACAATTATAATACCTATGAAATTCAAAATTCCACAACTAAACCAAAAAATTTTTGTTTGATTTCAAAAACCCAAATCCTTTCCCTATTGTTGGAACTAATAAATTTTTGTTTGTTTGATTTCGAAAACCTAAATCCTTTCCTTACCGTTAGAACCAAGAAATTTTTGTTTGATTTTAAAAACCCAAATCCTTTCCTTACTGTTGGGTACTCTGATTTCGAAATCCACTTTCTCTATTTTCGCTTTTAAACACCATTGAATAACAAATCGATTTTCTTAACTGCAGGTTTCATCATATTCTTTTTCTTTTCAAACAGAAGGCTATACCAAAAAAGCAGGGTAAATGATGAACTAAGTTTTGACTTCTTTCCATAGTCGATAAACAAACGCTCCAAAAGCAAGAAGCCCAAATTAGAACCAGTTCCACCACTAACAGTATTAAATATAAAAAATCCTTATAAACTAGTGTAGTTATTAACCAATTTTCTTAGATTTTTGTATGATAATCCACCTGATTCATCCCTGTTCAAGAACAGAACAATGGGAAGCTTCATAGAGAAACAAAAGTTAAAAGAGAGAAAAATATGAAGCTAGGACAAAAAAATTTGTTTTATTTTTATGAAACTAATTTTTTTTATGATTTTATTATTATTATTTTTTAGTTTTGAATATAAATCAGTATAAAATTAAATCATGCAAGTAAACACACATAAAAATATACATAAATTTTCATTCAAATTTATTTTTAGTTATAAATATTTGATAATATTTTACCTTTATTTACACAAATTAAAACATTTAATTATAAATTAAATAACTTTAAATAGGTTCAACTACGACAACTTGGCTTTAATTAATGATTAATCACGAATAAAAGTGGTAATAATGATCTTACCGGGTTAACAAACAAGGTAAACTTGCACATCATGTCTCCTCCTCACCATACTCTCACGACTTTGATTGAGAATAAACTTCTACGCAACAGAAACATTTGTTTTCCGTTGGGATTTCGTCATCACATATTAATTAATGCGAATGGATTGACACAAAATTTTTTGCCCAAACGTGGCTCAATTCACGACCTCATGAGGGATCACCTCTTTCCTCCTGTGTTTACCGCGTGACATTGAAAAATGGCGAAGTGCCCATTTTTCTATGTCATTCAAACATGCATGAAAATCACTCTAAAAGAAAAAAAAATGGACTTGGAATTTAGAAACGTACAGAAAGGTACCTTCACCTTGTCCAAGGCGTCACCAAAACCGACGTCGTCACGCTGCAACAGAAGAAAGATGGCCGTGGAGAAAACGTTTACAATATCTAGAAGGCATAGAATAGAGACGTGTCGCAATTTGATTGGAAGGAAAAAATCGACGACTGAAGAAGATAAAGTCTTAAAAGAGATGACGCCGTTTTGGTAATTTCGACTGTACTTTTATATTAGTCTAAACCCCTGAGACTCGTTAAAATCATCCCTCCTCGCACCAAATTCTTTTTTCTTTATCATCAGCGCCCCTCTTTAGCATTAAGAGTGGAAGAAGAGGGGAATTGTTGGGGGATATGGCGATATCGGATGCGGTGATTGGGAATTTGATGATGATCTACGTGGCGGTGATAGCAGGGATAAAGGCGTATGGTTTGTTGTGTGGGCGGAGCTTCGGTGGTGGGTTTGTGCTGATTGTGTCGAGCACGGTGGTGGGTTTCATCTTGGTTGGGACGCTGACGTGGGACGTCACTCGTAAAGCCACGTACGCGATTTCACGTGATCACGCCGCTTCAGTTCATGTTCACGATATGTGCAAGGGTGGAATTTGTTGGCACGGCGTGGCGGTTCGTTCGCCTGCTTCTCAGGTCCGGTTCAGGCTCCCTCAACAAATTCCATACGGTTCTTTATAAAAAGTAAATGAAAAAATTGAAAAAAAAAAGGATTTTGAGTTTTGAACCTGTAAGATATAAGGTTGTCTCCGGCTAAGAAAAACCCATAAGGGATTTGGTTTTTTCTCTCATGGTTTTTTGTTCTGGAATTTTGATTGAGATGAATAAAATATTGTGTATAAAATTATAAAATAACAAACGAAATGGAGGATGCTTTGTGATTAAATAATTCCCCATACCGACCAAAGCTTGTTTCGTTTCTTCCAAGAGCTTATCAAGTTGGAAACAGACGAGGTTCGGAGGAAGCAAATTTTGCTTAGTTTGGTGAATTTGGTCAGCTTATAGACAAAAAGCAAAGCCTATTTGGCAGGAAGTATAGGATTATCAAATGGGTTATTGCAGGTTACATGTTGGAAGATGTCAGAAGCTATAGAGTTGGGTGGCATTGTTAACAGTAGTTTTGATCACAAACTGATTTGTTGGAACTGACGTTCAACAAAACAGTTAAAAGTAGAGTCTTACTTATGTGTGTTTTGGTTTGTCTGTTTAAAACAAGTCATGCTTTTCCGTAGATGGTTGGTTTTTCCTTCTTTTTGTCTTCTTTATGGATATAAATAGATTGCAGTACTACAAATTTTGCAATCCATTCCTTACCTTCCAGAGGCCAAGGATGACGATGGATTGGATGGGAAATAGTTAATAGCTCTCGCTTCGTTTGATGCCAAACTGTACAGCTTCAGGGCTGCTGCCAACTGTTGACCCCTAAAACCCAGAGCAATCCCCTTAGCCTGAAGCCCCTAAACTGATTAATTTGGCAATTCAGGACTCAAAATAAGATGTCGCTGAAAATAAAAGAAAGTCTAAAATCTTAGTTCTGCCAGTACAGAACAGTTTATGCTTTGATTTAACCCAGTACAGAAGCAATTTGTTAGCTTGTACTACATCTGAAAGAGACAATCACATCCTCCTTTTAAAAACATAAGAAAGGGTGAAATTGGCTCTGAAGTCTGAACCTCTGGTGATTAAGATGTCCAAAGAAAATTGGCAAATCCTATGCAATGCACGTCAGGTTGGAATTAGCTTACTCTGGCCTGGTCCAAAATAATGCTTGAGCTCGTTGGATTTAGTCATGGGTTGAAATTTACTTCCTGCGTATTTTCTATTTCAATATTTTTGCAAAATCGAGATGTATAATACTAGATACGTTTCTTTTGGTCCAAAATGATGAAGCTTTTTGGTTGTTGTTTTTGAGACAGTAAATGTTGCATTCATTAAAGATTGACCTATGAAAGGAAGATGGTTACGTTGTCGACGCTTAAACAAATTGTTTTTAAAGAAGAAAAAGGCAAATTTAAAAAAGATATCGCAACCACATGGCTCAAGGCCAACAGAAACGTGTTCATGTCATAGTGAATCTCACTTGGCTTATGCTGAAACTAAAATCCATTTAAATTTAGATTATCTTAAGAGCAGGAAAGAGGAAATATAATCTTGGAGAGTGGAGACAGTCCACGACAGAGGAAAAAAAATTACATAAAACAATTATTTTATATTAATATATACTTGTTCCTATTCAAATTTATGGACAAAGACGCCCATTGCCCGCAGTAGAGCATCTTCGAGTAGAGTATTCGACTGGAGTTTCCGACCCAAAATTGCCACTAAACGCAAGCCCGAATTGGTAACGATTAGCCCAAATTTAAAATAAAAAAACGTGTTTTGTGGGATAATTTATTGGGGAGGGCAAGCCCAACGTTTAGCCCAATTAAATTAACAATGGGTTTTTCAGAAAAGACTACTTTGGACCTCAGGTAATTTGTCCTTGTCAATAGATTCTTCTCTCTCTCACATCAATTTGTCCTTTTTTTTTTTTTTTAATTCATGTGTCAAGAATATTTAAACAGGTAAAATCAATATGTGCCATGAGAAGACAATAATTCATAATTCATACTGAAAAGTAAGTATCTATTTATTAAGTATAATAAAATAAAAAATTAAGCTCAATTAATTTATTACACGTAATAAATTATTCCTAAATATTTGGGTGCATGATAATGCAAAATTTTTCTTCCAATGGTAAAATTAATTCTTCATAACAAAGCAGAAACTTTTTTTTTTTCCCTATAATCCATGAATTCAGCATAGGATTCACCAAGGTGATTATAGACAGCTAAGGCGTGAAGAAATATCTAATTCAGCTCAAAGTGGGGAGCTTGTTGACTTCCAAAGTCCCAACTACCAAAAAAATGAATTGCAGGTTTGATTTCAGTCTAAATATGATTATTAATTAGATAATGTTGGCGGCAATCACTTCATGTGAAAACGTGAGAATTTTTTCCTAAACTATAGTACTTTGTAATCTTTTTTTTTTAAACGGAATATTATTAAATTTTATTTTAAAAATCAGGTGATATTGTACAACTAGATTTTACGTCAATATGTACATTACTTTTTTTTTTTTCAAACTCCTTTCTTCTTTAATTTCCTGGCAGATAAATTTGTGTGATTATATATCTCTTTTTTTTTTTTTTTGGCCGACGATAAAGACATTGATTTAAAATAAAAACATAAATCTGAATACAAAATAATTTCTGAAATAATATTAAGTAGTCTAATTTCTAAAATTGACGACTCACAAATATAGAATCAGTACCTCTATGCTACCAGTTTTTGAAAATTGACTACCATGCTACTAGCTTTTGAAAGTTGACTAACGCCTTGGGGTTTTTTTTTTTTTTTAAAGCAATCATAAAATGCTAGTAAACGTATCCATTACCTCATTCTTTTTATAATAGATTTCTGGGTTTCCAACTCTAAGCAAAATCCAAACTTGCAAAGTATGCATATCCAAGCAACTTTATATAACAAACTTCAGTTTGAAATAGCTTAATCAAGAAAGTTTAAATTAATTAAACCTACTTCTTCTGTCCTTAGAAAAATGAAAAGAATCTTCTTGATTTTTTGACATGCATCCCCTTTCCATTTTTCCATTTTTTTTTTTTCTAAAGAATTGCTCAATTCTCTTTTTTAACAAAGCAAGATCATCCACAATCTACATGCCATGATTAATACGTGATCGTGAATCTTGCATTTTTCAAAAATTTATGCCATGAATTCACACGACAACATCCCAAAACCTAAATCTTGCCTGATACCTAACAAAAACAAAATTAATTTGGTTTTAATTTTTTTAAATAATACGTAATATTATAAATTTTTAAAATTTAATTTAAATTTAAATTAAATTAATTTTTTAAAAATTGATTTCATCCAAACCAAATTTTACTAGTTCGATTAGATTAAATTCATATATTTGAATTTTTTTTGTTTTATATATATTTTTAATGAAATTTTAAATATATTTAAATAAATTTTTATATAAAATAATAAAATTTATTTTATAAATATTTAAAAAATATATGAATTAATAAAAAATATACAACCCGATTTAATTTTTTTTATTTTTTTTACATCTTAACTTAAAATTTGATTGGAATTTAATTATATTTAATATTTAAATTTTATCGTTTCAATAATTATGAATTGATTTTTTTCTCGATTTTTTTTTCCCAAACTAACTGATGTTGAAGAAACCAATCCAGCAAAGTTTGATGGCTTTGAAGCGGTAAGAGTAAACTGGTTCCAAGAACCCAGTTTAGCTACCGTTTGGCTTGCTAATACCCCGTCTAATTCAAGAGTAGGATGTGCATCGTCATTAGCTGGGTTTTAATTCCCCCATTTTCCTTGATTTCATCCTAGAACAATATAGCTTCCTGCCCCACCTTGATTTAGTGTTTAAAGCTTTAGGATGGTGAGATTTCTAATTCCTTTCATTTTTCTTTGAAGTTCCTAAAGATTGTTATCTGTTAGTTGCTGTATAATGTCTCATTACTTTGATTGCCAAAAAAAAAACTAATGGAGAAGAACAGCACGCCATTTTTAATTGAATTTTTGGTAAATTATAATTAATTAAATATTTTATTTTTTATCTGACGTAGAGTCCACACATACACCTCATTTTAAGAATTACGTTTGAAACTACTCCAATTTAATAAATAAGATTAAAGAGTGGTTTGGTTGGAGAAAAAACTCGAAAACTTGGTTGGTGAAGTTCGCTCCATTGATTACAAAACAAAGAACATTTAGCCGTCAAAGTTTCGAATTAAGACAGATACGTGTCGTGTCATCTTTGTTTCACATTCTTTCCTTGATCAGCTCATTTACCCATATTGCCCTATTCTCACAGTTTAAATTATTTTCATGAAAGAATATTATTCCTGTTTTATCACATCGTTTGATCACTGTTTCTTTGTGAAATAAGGAAATGTTTGAGAATTTTCTTTGGTATTATATTAATTTTATTATTGCTCGGACTCTTTTAATTGAAAAGTCTTTGACGGCTTATTTTCGTTCAAGAAGAAAAATCTCAGTCAATAAATAATAACATAGAAGCTTTACTCGATTAGATAGAAATGAATTTGAAGCGCAGTGTTCTGGTTAAAGTGACAAAGATGACGATTAAGAAGGAAACCACTGCAGGCAGGCAAGTTATTAATCATGGTGAGCTTGTGAAATCAGTACAGATAGGAAAAGATTTAGTCTCAATCCAAGTATTTGCAGACTCAGGTATTGCTAACTTTTTCCCATTTGCCAATAAACTGAATAAATTAGCCATGTTATCTCTTTTTTCTGATTGATATTGTCTTTTTAGACCTTCCTTTGCTAAGAGCCTGGATACCAAAAGATCGCAGGAAAATTGGCAGGGACTTCGCTATTGTGAAAAGGGTATGCCATTATCATCAGTTTGTCTCATTCTAGCATTGTTATTTTTTATAAGAAATAAATTCATTAATTGTTCGTACAATTAACTGTCAGGGTAACCTTGGCAGTCCAATTTCACAAACAAGTTCGACGCGAAAGGTTCTAAAGAAGATAGCCAAACGTTGTGCAGCCATGGCTGCCTTTATAGGAAGAGACATAGAGGTGGCTCTCTGGTAAGCTGACTTATCTTTGGTGATAAGCATATGGAATCCTAGAGTTCTTTCCTTTGATAAAGCAAAGAAATGTTTTGCAGGAGTCGTATATCATATGCCAGCTATAGTGCTCTTCTGGCTGTCCACAAGGGAAATATCTTCTTGGACATACTTTTGGATCACCACTTAGAAGGTTTGAGTAAAAGTCATATGTTAAAATAATTTGAATTGTTAGAGTAAGTTTCTAATTTCTATCAGTTTTGTAGATTTCAGGTTAAATTTGAGACCTGAGTTATATCTCAATAAAAACAGTGTTAGATTGAGACCTGCTGAAGAACCAGAGTCTGAAGAAACTGAATCTCCTGCATTTCGGGCAGCCTCAGATGTATCAAGAGATGATATCGAAGGCCTCAAAGATAGCTATTCTAGTCCTAATCATAACCGCACGGCTATTCTCTTGAATTCAATATCTGTAATCCGAAGACAACTGCCAGAACAAAGTCTCGGCTGGCCTTTGCTTCGAAGAAAATCTGCTCCAAATCAAGAGTTTAAGAATCCTGAAGCTAGAGATATGTCCGTTGAACATAATGTAGAAGTTTCAGTTTCTTTGAATACAGAAGATTTAGAATCATATTCGAAACCAGGTTGGCCTCTTCTCCGAATTACTGCTTCCACTGCTTCAGATTCTCTTTCAGAATATGAAGCTACAAAAATGCCAATGGTTGGGAGTGTAGCGAACGCACCTATTCAATCAACAGTCGAACTTCCACCTTCCAAAATTGCATTAGTATGCACCAAAGTGGAAAACCCTGTCCAAATAGAAAATTATTTGCCAGCACTAAGAAAGATGCCGAACGACTTGGAGCTTCGTTGCAAGCAGTTTAGTCTTAGGGAGCTTAAGCAAGCAACTTCTGGATTCTGTCCAGGTAATCTTTCAAGTCAAGCTTCCTTTGGAGTTCAATATGTATTTTTAAAGGCTTAGAGACAAGTTAGCTTTTGGTCTTGTTTTTCAAGTCTTCTCTCGGATATGTTTGATTCTCTTACCAGAAAACTTGATTGGAGAGGGAGGATCCAGCAATGTGTACAAAGGGTGTCTTCCCGGTGGCAAGCCAGTGGCTGTTAAAATTCTAAAATCATACAAAGAAGCTTGGAGTGACTTCTCCTTGGAAGTTGATATTGTTTCTTCATTGAAACACAAGCATATCACGCCTCTAATTGGAGTTTGTGTTGAAGATGACCATCTCATCTCAGTCTATGACTTCTTTCACAGAGGGAGTTTAGAGGAAATTCTCCATGGTAATCTTCCCCAACTTGCAAGGTTTGCTTCTGTTACATACAAATAAAGATACAGAGGAGTTAACTTTCACTATATTTTATTTCCAAAACAGGTCAAAACAAGAAATCTGTGTTGCCGTGGGTGGTCAGGTTTAAAGTTGCCACGGCAATTGCCGAGGCTTTAACTTACCTGCATAATGAATGCTCTCCATCCGTTATCCACAGAGATGTAAAATCTTCTAACATTCTTCTCTCTGATGGTTTTCAGCCACAGGTAAACCCTTTTTTTTCCCCCTCTTTTTCTTCTTTTTGTAATATTAGTATAATGCAACATATTGTTTTGTATGAAAACTTTTCCAAGTCATTTTGGGATCCTAGCACATAATTAAGAAAGATAAATTGAATAAAATAGTGAATTTCTACAGGGCCGGGTTTTTACTGCGAGCACAGTTGCTACTTGCTATAACTTGTTAACCTTGACTATGACCCAGAAAGAGCAGTTTAATTAGATGAGTTTCTAACCAGATGGCTTGTAAAAACTTGAAGTATCAATACTTTTTCCACTTTACCCCTGCAGTTATCTGATTTTGGGCTTGCCATCCGAGGACCAATGGATTCAACTTACATGATTGAGAGCAATGTCGTAGGAACTTTTGGGTATATAGCTCCTGAGTACTTCATGGAAGGAAGGGTCAGCGACAAGACTGATGTATATTCCTTTGGCGTTGTGCTTCTAGAATTGGTATCAGGAAGGAGGCCAATTAGCTCAAAGGCTCTGCAAGGACAAGAGAGCTTTATCGAATGGGTAAGAATTTGTGCTTTTACACATATTTATTACTTGAAGGTATAAGACACTTCAGAGGGATGTGTCCATTACAGGTTAAATAACCAAATTATCATCTAACACAGGCTAGGGCACTATTAGAAAGAAGGAATCTCGAAGGATTAGTGGATCCATTATTAGATGGAGATTTTGACGTTGCTCAAATGCATAGAATGGTTCTCGCTGCCTCCCTCTGCCTCAATCAGTTGGACAGATACCGGCCAAAAGTGAGCCAGGTAGACATTCTTGCCGTCTATATCTAAGCCTTCTAAACCTTGAACAGTAGGAAATAGGTATATCACTAAGCTGCTTTTAAAACTGATAAGAACTTGTTCATAGGAGGTTGGTTTCATGAATCAAGAAACTCAGTGGGCTTATTATGGTGGTTGACATTCCCCTATGCCCTGCTTCATTATTAAATTCCTCCAAACAAAAGCTTGACATGTTTTCAATCCTGTCATATTACCATTCTAAGTAGGAGGTAAACCTCCAAGTAGATATAGTACTTTGATTCAGTTAATTTGCTATGATTATTGTTTGAGACAAGCTTAAAAAAAAGTTGATGTTTCTCATTGTCTACCCTCCAGGCACTAGAAGTATTGCGGGGAGATAAGGAACCAAGAGAGTGGTGTAATTTCCATGCTACTGATTTGAAAGCGCCGAACGACCAGGAAGTTGATGACCTCTCTCCAGAATTTGTTCACAAACTATATACATATCTTTCAGTACCATTTAAAGACGATCGTTCAACATCAATGTGTAGCAATTATACCACATCAAGATGTAGAGCTGGAAAAGAGCATCGTTTAAAGCTGAAGGATTACCTTAAGAAAGTGCAGGGCTGATCATAATAACTTTCATAGTTCCACAGCATTTCCGTCGCTTGTTCATTGAGTTTAAGCTTATTAAGCGAACTCGAAAATATATATCAACTTGATTTCTTGATGTAAATGGCAGTTATGATATTAGTATTTTTTTTATGAAATTTTGCCATGCTATTCTACAATGAAATGGAACATATACAATTCAAATGTCAGGAAAAAACTGCAGATTAATTCTTCTCGTCTCTTTTTTGCGTGAAATAGTTTTTGTTAGAAAAACCTCAAACTGTACAAGTTGTGGGGCATTATAACCCTTTACCGCCATGCACTTATCCAAGAGTACAATTAAGATAACTTATTGAAAGAATTAGGGCCGCTCTTTCTGGGGAAGGAAAAAAAAGGCCCTTTGAAAGTCAAACGACTCAAAATGGAACCGTATAAGGCAATGCATAAATCTCAGCCTCCGGAAGAAAACGAGCATGTGGGCATGAAGTTGCACTAGCACTACATGTAACTTTATTGTCAACTTTAGATCTCTTAGCGGCACGTCTTCCTTGCAGATTTGTCATACAAAGCCAATCATCGTCGTCCTTCTCCTTAACTTGGAGAGGAAGTGGCATCCAATCCTCAATCAAGGTTTTATACTGCAATGCTGCCTTCTGCCTCTGGTTGTCATACACCGATGTTCCAGAAGAAGAGGGAATTGGCTCTCTCCATTCGTCATCACACCGTAATTTCTGTTCAGGCACAGGAGAACTGGTACAGGGTTTTTTACTCCAAGGGTAACATTGGTCTTGCGCTTTTGATGGGGTTGAAGAATCTGCCCTTCCAGAGGTAGAGCATACCAGTTCTTCACTGAGAGATGCATCAGGTTCACAAGGCTTTTTCAACGAAAACCGAATCTTTATAATGTTTCCTATTCATTGCACAACACAAGAATCAATATCCCAATATCTGTATATACATGCCTGTAAGGAACCAGAGCAATAAGCAAATGAAGCTTATCAGATAAAACGATGAACAAAACTCACCAGCAACCCCGCATTCACTAGAGGAACGGGTTTCCCTTTTCCTCTTGATGCTGTTTTCGCTGCCATCAGATATGTAGCAAACAGGTGGCCCATGTTCCTCAGTAAGATCACTGTTCTCCAATTGGTCATCTTTATATCCACTTAGATCATCATTAAGCTTCTTAAATTTCTTTATGAGATCATGAGTTTTCTCCTTTTCTTTCCTTTCCTTCTTTTTCTCCTTCTTCTCCCTCTTCTTATGTATTTTCTGATCTATTTTGCGCAGAACCTTTTCTCTTTCGAGCTTTATTGCACACCAGAATAATAAATTTAGAAGGGCCGGCAATGGAAGACCAAAGAATCATGATTTACCATAAAATTGAAGTTTGGGTTATTTATAATTTTGGAATAAACTTCTATAAGATCAATTAGAAATCGAATTCAGACACCCTGGATAAACAGGGTAACAAGTTCAAAGTCATAAGGTGCCACTCCTCTAGTCAAAATCAATTATCCATCTTATCAATCATTTATTAGATGAAATTAAAAGAAACCCAAAAACACTAAACCCAAGGAGTTTCATGAATTTATTTAAATCATACCAGGGTTCTTTGTACAAATCTTTCTTATTCACAATTACAAAGCTGTAGTCACAACAGTCAATGGATGCCCTTTATAGATCTTATTCAATTACACAAAATTACAAATACAACTCATAATCAACAACCACAAACGCATGCAGTTGAGCAACAAAACGGAAAACCAATTACTTTTGCTCAACGAACCTTAATCGATTCGACCAATCCCTGCCTTATATACCCTGGAGGTGGGTAAGGAAAGCACCGTGACATTATCAGCTTTTCTTTTTGAAATCCCGAAGAATTTCCTCAAGAAGCTTATGAACCAGTAACCTGATATTGTTCAGTATCCGTCAAAGCTTAAAGATTTAAACTTTGTAAGTTCTTTTCTCTTCAAGAGAGAAGACACGAAATTGAGAGGGCAACAGCTAGGGTTTTGTCAGATATCTCGATCAAAACAAACGAGCTCGGTATATATAGCGTGAGAGAATTGGGAATCGACCGAATCAATTATGGCGGCTCTTCGAAGTTTCTCTTTTGTTACCGATACTGCCCTTCACGCGTTACATGTATAATGTTCTCGTTGGCCTTTTCCGCAACTTTCCTTCAGTATTGCGTACGCAATTCGAAATGGCTTTTTTTAATTTATTTTTTCCATAGGTGAGAAAGTGACGCCGTTTTGATTTCTGGACGTAGCAAACACCACGTAGACAAAGCTTCAAAATTTTTGGTATGGATTCTGTTTTCGCAAAAATATTTAAATTTTGAATATTTCATTTATAAAGTTTAAATTCAAATTTATTATCAATAATTTTTAAAAAATTTGTAAATTCAATGATACCTGCCATATTTTCTGAAATTGGAAAAATTTTCCCATCATCCTATATTGTTACGAAAAGAAAAAACCAGCAAGGTTTAAGCATGAGCAATTTTGCTGGCGATTTTTGCAGTGAGCTAAAGCAGATTCACCGAGCGAGAACGGAATCCTATCTGTAATACCTACTACTGACCTTGTTCTATCGAAAACAGAGAATATAATCGAGGATAGATGATATAATTTTTTCAGTACCAACTTTAACATTAAAGACGATTTTCATTAGCCTGAAAGAGCCGCGTTTGATCAGAAAGCATCTTAATTGCCATTTGCGTCAAATACTATTTCGATAATACCATGCCAGAATAGAGCCTTGCACTTATTGGACCCGTACTCAGAATCTGTATCTTTCTATGGAAAGCTAACCATCCTCTATATGGGTTTTTGTTTTTGTAGATGCTATCCCCTGCTAACCCCTTTAAAGCTACATGCTCATTTCACTATTGCAGTTATGAATCTGCAACCCATCCTCCCACTCTCCAGCTACACCTTTACCAGCCTTTCGGGCTAGGTAAAAAAAGGTAGATCGCAGAAAGAAGTAAACCATTTTTCTCTCGCGGTTAAAACGCTGCTTGTGATTGTCAGTAAATCATAACTACAAACTCCTGTATATCAATGGTTTTTTTTTTTAACCAGATCTTTCTTTTCGTTGTTCATTAACTGCCACAGTCACATGAAAAAATAAAAAAAGTCTTCTGAAGAATGTTTATCACGGCAGGCGATCGTGGGTTCCAATACGTGAATGACTGAATACGGCTGGACGCCCTCAAGTGTTATCAGCCCCAATGTGGTGGCAAACGGAGATGCACCTCAATAGGAAGCTCCCAGCGCGTCTTTCTTGGAAGTTGACAAAGCCTATCTAGGTGTTATCATTAAAAATAGTCTATGCAACCAAACTCTTCCTGGATTCTGATGCCCGGAGCAGAGTGGCAGCTGGTTTTACGACACATGAGGTGACGTTTCTGGCCCGGAATCACACTGGCCCAGACCATCAACCATGGCCAGACTGACCCATTAATCCTTGGCAGAAGGGTGAAAAATGCATCCCAAAAACTTTTCATAGCCCACAGGCATTTTTCAATTTATATTTTGCAGAGCACTGCCTGGAAATTTTGTCGTTTCGAACCTACCTCATAAATACAAAGGTTGGTGATAGAAGTGGCTGTTTTTACTGGTAAGTTTGTATTTACTACAATTGAGAAATTGAAAACAGCTACTGAGAATTAATAAAAATGCTATTATTCATCCTTTTTGAATGACCAAACTGACAATTTCTCCAATTTCTGATTCCTCCCGTCTATAACGTCTGACTCTTTCCCGTCCCAATTGAGTGAATTTCTCTCTAAAAAACCACCTCTCTCTCTATGTGAAATCTCTGACCCGATAGTTCTGCGACTTGCTGTCACAAAATCTGCATGTGTAGGTCGTCGTTTACCGCCACCTTTATATCTCTCACATAAATGCATTTTTGTTTTGAAACCTTTTGAGATTTGACAAAAGAGCAGAGAGAGAAAGTGTCCTAAGCATTCTCTAACTCTCTATGTCCCGCTCGCCTTCTATATTTTATTTTCCTTATTTAGTTCCTTAAATATGTCAGTACAAACCAATTATGTCCATAAAATCGCTATTAAAAAATTTAATTTAAAATATTTAAGATTTTGTCGGTTTTCCCACCCTACTTATAACCATCCACGGGTTTCTTTCATGATGGTCTATTTCAGTTAAACCAGAAACCAAGGCAACAAAGAAGGCAAAGGTTATGCCAATTAAGAAAGAGATAGAGAGAGAGCAATTGGGTCATGTATCTCTTCTGATATAAGGAGAGCCTCAGCTTTCTAGCTTTGAAACTTACCCATCCCATTTTCGTATCCCTTATGGTTTTCTTATTAAAAGTCGTCTACCGAGTCTGTGAACTTACAAGGGCCAAAGGGGACTTTTTTATGTTGCTTTGCTCCGTTCTGATTAGCACCTGGCAATAGTTATTATGGCTGTTCAAGCGCAGTTGTATCCTGAAAATATGAGTTTACCTTTACCTATGGGCCTCCAGGATTGGATGGTAAACACTGCACCTGCTGTTCCTTCCTTTGAAGCTGATTTTTGTTTCAGTCTTCATGACCCTTCTCAACAAATGGTTCCTTTTCATCCGCAACAATACGCTCAGAACTTGGCTTCTGCTGCTTCTTCTTCTTCTTCTTCCAAATATGATGCTTTTCTCTCCGTTGCACTTTCTCAATCTTTAGATGCTCAACTGGAGATGCAAAGGCAGGAACTTGATTGCATTCTCCAATTGCAGGTAATAATTCATTCTTTTTCATCAGAAGTGGATTACATTTGTCGAGTTTAATTGTGTAAAGAGTCATCTTGATTTTATCATTATGGATTTTCAACATTATCAACTGTTTTTAAAGAGTCTTGGCTATACTGAAAAATTTCCTTTTTTCCTGTTCTATATCTGGGCGGGGAAAAAAACAGAATGAGAGGCTAAGGTCTGCTTTACGAGAGCAAAGGAAGCGACAATTGGCCATCCTGCTAAAGAGTATGGAATCAAAGGCCTTGTATTTAATGAGACGAAAAGACGAAGACTTGGCAAAAGCAACAAAGAAAACAATGGAGCTCGAAGCCTCCCTGAGAAAAGCCGAAATGGAGATAGAGTCATGGCAAAGGCTTTCGAAAGCAAATGAAGCAACGGTTATGGATCTAAGCAACACATTGGAACAGGTCAGAGAGAGCCTCGTCTGGGTCAGCAATACAGCCGAAGATGCAGAGTCCCTTTTCTATGGCTCGTGTGACACAGATCAACAAGGAGAAGTGAAAGACGAGAGCAAAAAGATGGCTTGCAAACACTGCAACTCTCGGAGCTCGTGCGTTCTCTTTCTACCATGCAGACACCTTTGCTCGTGCAAGTCTTGTGATGCTTTTCTTGATTCTTGTCCTGTCTGTAAATCTGTAAAGGAAGCGAGCATGAAGGTTTTTTGGGTCTAACAAGAAAGGCACAAAGCTAAGAAAGAAAGAGGTTTTTTTGGGGAAACACACTTGTCGATGCATGTCCTGTCATCGCGGTGTTTTCGTTTTCGTTTGCTTTTCTGGTCTGTGTTAACAGATTTTCCGTATTTTTTTCTTGTTATTTTATTTCTTCTTTTGTCTACTCTAGGACCCGTATGAGACTCTTTTCAAATGATGACAGTATCAGTTTGGTGAGAATCTTTCAACTTTTGCCGTTTTTGGGTTTAATTAACATTTTCCTCATTCGGATTGCAACTTAAAAAAAAAAAATACATCGGTTTTAAAATTTCTAGATTTCTTTAATGAGGTAATGAATTTGGTTCTTTTCGTCTACGGGAAATGCAGCTCACTTCAGCGGTAACAGTGTACTGTTTTTGTTTAACTGGCAGAAAAGATTTGGTAGCCAAGTTTGACATTTATTAAAGAGTGGAACTTTCCACCGCCACCGAGTCTTTTTTGCTTTATCCAATGAATTATCGATTCAAATTATACAAGCTACAAAAAGTTTAGAACGAAAATTCCAGAAATTGACTACTCCGGAGCCTAAACGAATGCCCTGTTTTAGAGTTCTAACCCCGCTCTCATCAAATGTAACAGGAATAACCAGGATTCCTGATAAAACTTCCAAATACTCATCAAACCTGCGTCCTGCTTCATGGACCAGAACTAATGCACAAAAGCAATAAGAAAGTTCAAAGAAGCTCATCCCACGTTACATATTTTCTTGTTTTAATCAATTTCTTTTAATCACTCTATTTGTTGTTGCGTCCTGTTTATGGGAAGTTGAACCAAAATCTGCAAAATCACTTTCAGCTTTTTTTGCTGCTGTACCAATTCCACCCTGGTGGAAAGAGAATGCACAGGATGAAGGGTGAGTGTGTTATCTGACCCACCGAGGATGAAGGGTGATTGAGTGGTCCCTACAATGTGTTCTAAAATCAGAGAACCGTTTCCAAGGGGAGAGACGGGAGAGGCGATGATACATACATACATATATATATATATATATATATATATACGAGTTAAATGGTTATTTTTGTCTGAGATGTCGTGGGTGTGCATGGGGAATCGGTACGGGAGATTTGTTCTCAAGTCTCCAAACAAAACCAGACCACGAAATTGAACAACCAGGCTGCTTTGGAAGTGTTCAAACCTGTTTTGCCGTTGTGGCTTTGTCTCGTATTTTCCGTTTTAATGATAAAATAATGCAGGACTAGACCAGCTTTTGTACTGGTGGAGGTATACGTGTAGGGCTAGGATAAACTTGCCTATTACTTGTGTGACGAGATCTTGCGGTTTGTTTGTTGACAAACACTTTGGTGAGCTAGCGGTTTTTTAGGCTGGAAATTCGCTACCTCACTAGCCCAACTTAACGTTGGACCCTTTCAAGGTTAACAGAGTGGGCTTCAATCCAAAATTGGGCCAGGATAAAGTTGGATCCCATGTGGTAAGAGCCGCGTATTGCCCCTTAATGCGGTTTTGAAACATGGATTTACAAATAAAGCAGTTAATTAGTTTCAAATAATACATTTAATCAAAGATTTATGGGAAGATCTGGCAAAAAAAGTTATGGGAAGACAATTTAATTATTTATTTTTTACAAGACGCTGCCAAAAAAAAAAGAAAAATAATTATAGATATTAAGGTTTAAATCTTAAATATATTGAATATTACTTTAAAATATATTTGTATGAATTAATTATACTAAACTTAATTAAAAATAATTAATGATAAAACTTTTTAGACTATATGTTTAAACCAATACGGAGTTGATGAGCTTTTGTTTCATTTATAATTGTTGCTTTTGATATTAGTTAGGGAAGAATTAGAAAGATCATGATTTTATGCTCTAAAGAACTAATCGTTTATTCGACATTTATACTATTGTCAATTAAAATATTTTTGCATGAATGTCTCCTACATTCTCAAAAAAAGTTAAAATTATAAAAATGTTAACATATAAAATTTCATTATCAAAATTAAAAGTATAGCACTATAATAATCAATTACGTAATTATTGACATGATTGATTTTCTATCAAAATTAACATTGATCATTGAGGCACAATTCAATCTCCAAGTTCAAACCTTCAAACCATCCAATCGAACACATGTAGGAGTGCCTTGGATCCTGGAACATGCAATCCCTATCTAATCTATTTTGTAGCATGTGTGCATTCATCACTTTTGAGTAGAAGGCCCGTATATTATGCTTAATCTAAACTTGGATTTTAAATAACCTACGACGTATCAAACCAATT